TATATTTCAATCAAACATTCACACCTTTCGACTAATTGCAAGACCAAGTCTCTGGATTGTGGATTACAGTTTTTCCCATTGACTATAGCCAGGAGGTTATGTAGCTATGCAAACATTCCTACAACCAAGTCTCCTTGACATGCCTAAATAAATTGATTTCAATATTAGGTATAAAGAGAATATAAACACAATTTATTTGTAGAAAATCCATATGCCAAATGATCAATTCTTACTTGAGCAATCATCCATACAAGAAGTAGAAGTTTATCTTGCTCTTGATACTTGACATTCTCCCTCAGTACTGGCAATATACTGATTAAGATATCAGGTTTACGTCGCAGAACCATTGCTAAAACTACAAATATAGCGACCTGCAACTCAAGATAGATATCAATTAAACATTAACCTGTGAATATGCTAAATAATGAAATAAAACATTATCAAAAAAAATTTTTGCTACTGGATGCAAGTAAAGATAGCCAGGAAATAGCAATTACATTACACATGTCCATTCACAACAATCTTTTCTGGGACAAGTTACAATAAAATTATTGAGAAAGAAAATATACTTCACTACTCTCCAACATACTTATAGGAGTAGGATAGTAGCAATACAACAGCCATTAGCTAACAGCTCCGTAGCCTCCATACGGTACAAAAATAAAACAAGTTTTTCCCTAGACCTGGCATTCCCCATTATAGCTCTCTCTTGTTAACTCCCATCCTAGCTAGACTATCTGCTAAACTGTTAGCAGACTTGGAGATCATCCAACCGAACAAGCAATTCAGATTGGAAGACAAAGCTGTAGTTTCTTTAATTTTAGATTCAAGAAACCAAGGTTCTTCAGGTTCTTTATTTTGATAATTTCCTTTGCCCAAATGCAACAAAATCACTGAACAGGTTCTTTCATACTCATTTAGGGGTGATTTAGTCACTAACAATACAGTGCCAGATTTATGTTGCTTTACTTCCTCCAAGGTTAATAGTACACTAGATTAGTAACGAACAATGATGACAGGTCAATCTTCAACTTGGACTTTTTAAGTTGAAGATTGATCTTACAAGATTAGTAACAAACATAATCATAGCAATCACTTTCCTTTTACAAAATACCAAACTTTCATTAAGTTGTCATAGGAAACAAAAAAGGAAAACAGGTTCCACTTACTAGGAAAAATTAAAAAACAGAAGCATATAATGACTAATTTTTATTTTATTTTATTTTTTTTGAAAAAGTGAAGTATTTTATGTCTATTACTCTAGGAACATAAGACAATATGCAAGTACTCCCTCAAATTACATCAAGATTGATCTTACAAGCATGCCATTTCTCTGAAAAGCAACAGCGAGAAGATTGCACTCAGTGTCCACACCTTGTCTGAGCAGTTCCACTTAGTTTTCCAATGCAAATTGCTTTCATGTCGTGAGTTCCAAAATTAATTAAAACCACCTGGTTTGGAAATAAATTTGTTCCCAAGACAAAAGGTCAAATTACAGAAAACATGCTCTTGGTTGTACGTGTTCATTTTCAAAACTGAAACAAAAAAAAAAAACATATTATTGAATCTCTGGTTAAAATAAATCATATGATTTCTATACTAACAATATTTTATTTTTTGTTTTGAAAACCATCATTTTGATGGCTTTAAAAACATGAATTGTCTTTTAAAACAAACCCAAATTGATTTTGCTTTCAAAACAAAAGCACAGATCAAGAGCGAGTTCTTGTTTTTTCACTGATGTAGCAATTTCAGAAACAAATGAAAATAAAAACATTCATGTTGTAGAACACCCCCTAAATGGTTCATCCCAATTGCCTTACACTTGTTCAACGTTTATGGTCAGCTTATTGCTGGATGACAGGATTCCCATGAGAAATATTTACTTGAAGATTAACCACATCAGCTCCAAAATGCTGTCTCTTATTCCTTGAAAGCACGGATCTCCATTTATTTTTCCCATGTGACCTGAATGCTGATGTAGCATTTGGCAATAAGATGGCACACTACTGATGATTCCACATGCACATCAATAGACATAATTAGCTAGAGTGGATTCTTGAATACATGGTGAAAAGACAATAGACAGACCTCTGTTTTGTGTTGTTGACTTAGGGCAAACAGAACACAGCTGGTCATTTCAGCAACTTCATGGGAACTGCAACACCTCAACAGAAGATCGGATCTCACTTCAATATATGATCAAACAAATGAATCAACTTTTTACCTCTAGGTGTGCGTAACAGAGCCCAGTGGTCCACAATCTATTTGCAGGAGTGTAATGCATAGCACATGCAGAGGGAATCATCTCTTCAACTTCATCCTATCCAAGATGTATCAATCTTATACAATCAATCTATAGAAGTATTAACCAGATAAATCACTTTTTCCTCACAAAGAAATGCAAGTTCATGTTTTGGCCCTGCCCCACCTTTCACCAAGTGAACATCATGAGAGGTGTGTTCTCTACCTACAGTTGCTCTCAAGGAGAAAGATACCACATTTGGAGTCCTGTAAAAGGGCACACTAAGTGTGACAGTCCTGACCTCATCACAACCTCCAAATTGTTCCAAATCTATAAAGGCATATTGAATCGAATTCTCTACAGCCATCATTATCCACAATTTGTCCTCTAATGAAATATCATATAGAGAAATCTGGAATGGAATGCCCACAGGCAATCCTGATACAAAATGAAAAGGGATTTCAGAGTCATTACTAGGGATATCTAGTTCTACTCTCATATGCTTGAATCTTCCATTGTATACAACCTGCTTGAGGGAGAAGAATTCAAGTAACCTCTTAAAACTCAAAGGATCATATGAAGCTCCATCATCCTAGGGACCCAACTGAAGGAACAATTTCTGTAGTTCTTTAACAAAATTGGAGGGTTCAATAGTTCCTTTCCCACAAAGAAGTTCTATAAAGGAAATTGTAGTATACAATCTATTGAGTGCGATAAGGTGACAGCATATTTCAACCTTGCACAATCTCAACACACAAGTCAAAAGTATCAATTCTAAGACATGAAATTCTTCTTCTATGCTCTAACTTGAGAACTTGTGCCTCAATCTGCTGAGACCAGATTCTAGTTTCTCCAATAAAAGATCCAACCTTCCAACTCCATAAAATTGGAACATTTTCTTTCGCAGAAAATGCTCCATATCTTTGCTAGCAGTTGGATTACTCGAAGATATTGGGATGTAAAGGCCAAAACATCAAAAGATCCAAGTGAATTAGTGGTAATTGTAGCCAACTCTTCCTTGCAGCTCCTGTATATCATAACAGAAGGCAGTCAACAATCAGCAAATTTACCATATTACTCTAAAAGGAGGGAACTAACCTTACATACAGATACAATTATATTCAAGTATTAGCTTGAAGATGTGATGCACAGCCAAGGGGTTCATGACATTCCAATGGTAGTTGATGGACCAATACTAACTAGGGGTACAAATTGGGTCAGCCCCCCCGGAAACAGTTAGGTTGGATAAACTGGATTAGGCATAGGAAAAATGCTAACTGATTTAAACCTAGTTGGATTAAGGTTGTGCCCCTTGAGCAGTGCACAAAAGAACTAAAAAAACAAAAACAACCCAAAGCTGATCTCAGATTATACTAGTAACATCAATACAAACATATGTATATTATGTGCTTATTTAAATGTTACCTCTGATATTGTTTTGAATAGTTAATATCCATGGTAAAACATAAATTAGTAAAAGTTTTTCACAGCAGATAAAAACTACCTAAAGACCAAATCCTAACCCATGCATTTCTTATCCAACATCACGATTAGACCTGTTCACAGGTCGGGCTTCGGGCCCGACTTTACACTATGTCGGGCTCGAGCTTCGGGATGGGCCCATTCAAAATTTGGCAAAAGCCAAGCCTGAGCCCAGCCCATGAACAAGTCTAATCAGTAATCATGATCCATAAGTATCCACTCAAAAAGCAGAAATCCCTATTGTTCTGTCTGCATCTCCACCTTCCACTCTGCTTTCCTTGCCTTGACTAACAAAAGTAGCTCTTTTGTTTTTTCCTAATTTCTCTTTTTTTTTTCTTTTTGCAATTTAGGGTTAGTTCAATTGATAGATATCACAATTTCTATGGCACATGAGCTCATGGATGAATTGAATGATTTATTGCTTTGTCTTTGTGAGCTTTTTAATGACTGAATCTAAATGGGTTGTTTACTGTACCCTCAACTATGTTATTATTTAATAATTGTATCCCCAAAAGACAAAGCAATAAGTCATTCAGTTCAGCCACTTCACCCATTCTCAAATGGCCCCTTAGGTATAGCCCCTTGGGTTAAGGTTGAGGTTTTATTACTTTAGGTTAGGCAAGGTTAACCTCAACCAACCCAACCAGGCCCAAGTTGCACACTACACTGACTACATTGACTACATAACCAATAGAAATGATCAAACCAGCCAAACAAAAAGTAAGATACAAATCCAAAAATTGACTCTTAAGATGGTCAAGTTGGGCTGGTTTTTGACCAAGGTGATCTTTATGTCAGTTAAGGTCTCTTCCCAAACCTACATGGAAAAATGCAAGACAGAAAGAAGAAAAAAAGGAAAAAGTGGGTAGCCATATCCTCCTTATGGCCCCTTCAAATCTAAGTGATTGCTGTCTGCATCACGTCCAAAATGCATATAGCTTCTCCTGGAGATATTTGTGTATCAAGCTTCCACAAAAGAGAACATTCCCACAGACCAAATGAAGGCTTATGTTACAACCTACACTATGACAAGGGTTACATGCTTCCACCAGGGACCAGGAGGAGAAGGACTACAAAATGAAGTAATGATTGAGCTATTTAGTCTGTAAAAAAGCAAATGATAAAGTAAGATTAGAACCTTAATGTCCTTAGTACTTCAGTGGTGCATCCTGACTGTATGTATGGCCAAGTTTCTGCAACTCCTTTAAAAATATGTTTCACAGAGATTGTGACCCATTCTTCAAATTCGGTTGATGTATGACTTGGGACATACATAGATTGAGCATCAGAGCTATTACCACAGTTACTGATTTGTTGCAAGAGAACTTCTAGAGGATTAGCTCCCTCATGATCACTGTGACTTGGGCCACCACCTTCAGCAACGGGTAAGACAAGCTCATTTCCCCTAAAAGTTCAACTCTGTGGCAAGAGGTAGAATGGATCCACTGTAGTGAAACAAGTAAGCTAAAATGGCATCTCAATTTATAGAATCATTCAATGAGCGAGAGATCCTTCCAAGAAAAGGAAGTGCATAGGAAAAAATTCTTGGTGGAATGTTGCAGGGACTATGTTCATGTGAAAGAGGTACTGAGATGGCTAACACCAACAATGCAGCTACATTTGCACTATCAAAACACAATTCTCCTTCACAGGAAGGCTCCATCTGAAGCAAGAGAAAAGGAAAGTTGATGCAATTAGCATTTTGAGTTTGATTGTGGAGAAAGCAGAGGCAGTTTAGTAATAAGACAATAAGGAAAACTCTAATAAAGAAATAGGGGAAAATGAATGCAAGGAAAAGAGAAAATATAGCAGTAACTCTAAGCTTCACAAAGGAACCTATTTTGAGACATTATATTTTTGTATAAAGAAAGACAACCCCAAGAAGGCAACAAACCAGTAAGGGAATATATATATATATATATATATATATATATATATATATATAAGGATTCTTCTAAAACTTCCACATTTACTTCTGAGCAATAGTGGATGTCATAATGTATCACATCTTGAATAATTGAAATCTAGTAAATTGCAAGTTATATCTGCACAAAAAGTTATGCAAAAAAGATGTCTATTATATATGCTCATCCAAAATGAGTGAAAAATTCCAATCATCTAATTGTTTAGAATATCTATTTTCAGATGCTAGTACCCAATCACTATGTGAACAAATGAGTGAAAAATGCACTGCTTTTACTTGTATGATAGCAAAATACTGAACTATTGACGGTTTAAAATACCAATACTAGCCAGTTGATTACACAAGTAATCCAGACTGTTCATTCACCTGACAACCAGAGAAAGGACAAAAGTTGTATGAATTTAGCCTGGAGAACAGATTCATGTATTATTAGTGGGTTTCCTTTTCTTCTCTGGAGAGGGTGGAGGAGCACTGTGGTCATGTCAGAGGGAGTCATAGGTTTCAACAAGTTAGCTCCTGCTTTCAGAGTGGCTTCCAAGAGGGGAAATGCTCCCTAAAAGCATCATAGCCACCTCCAGATAGTTGTATACCCCATATTAATAACAAAACCAGAGGCCAAAGATCAACCAGTAATCCATGCAACCTCATTCGTGGTGCTGCCTTGAGATGGCATTTGACTATTTGAGACAGGTTTGATTAGCTTCTGGTGAGTGGTGAAAATAGTTTCAATCTTCCAAAAACTGCTATTCTCATTGATCAAGCTAGGACTTGACTCTTTTTTGTTTATTCATGACAATTGAAAATAAGTTCCACAGTTAGGTGATAATATGCAACATCTGACGCCAGAAATGAAGCTTAAGAGTAAAAATTGAGAGAGGAATGCTAACAACCTCTTGAATGACCTCCTTTATAAAGCTGACCACGAAGTTCCCATGATTTCTACCAATATCAAATAATAAGGGGAAGATATCAGCTTCATCCTGTGGACAATGACAGAATGATGAGATTATGGATCATTGAACAAACACAACATGTATTACCAAATCAGTGCATGTTGGACTTAGATATTGATCCAATAAATCATGGAAGTCAAGGGCAAAATCATTGCAATGCATTAGCCAAGAAACTGTGTTCTGTTCAGAAAATTCTGATGCAAAAATTGATTAAGCATTTTTGAAAGCAGAAACTACTCAAACCTTTCCAATGCTTTATGAAACCAGCTAAAAGTTACCCCTGCTTTTGAACAATAATCTTGGACATCCCTTATCACATATATTTTACTTGGCATAGACCTCCCAGTTTTCTGGTTTTCTCTCTACACTTTATCCCATCTTATCTTTATGAGAAATGTGAGTCTCATCTTGCTCTCCATTTGGGTATTTTTGCCAGAGTTGTCTGGAGAAAGAAAGGTTATGAGTGGATGAAGAAATGAAAGCTGGCCTCAGTACTGTCAAAGGTAAAGCCTACTTGGGTATTTAACTCTCCATCCATGTATGATTTCCATGTAGCCATTAATGTTGAAAATTACCCTGTTTTATTCTTTACCTACTCTGCTTTCCGTACACAGTGCTCCATCATTTGCCATATCTGGTCCATGCACAGGACAAGCTGCAGAAAACCATGACCACATTCTACAAAAAATTAATCTCTTTTAATCCATTAGATGCTATTCTATTTAACTTGTTAGATATTTTCAATTGTAGATTTTTTTGTATGAATGGCACAAATTTGCTAGTCATAACTAACAAGGTTTGCTCATAGTAAGATACAAGACAGACAAACAAAAGACTTATCATCCACGAGATTTCTGAGTTTATGGGACTTTCAATCACTCAATTGGATTGATTTTGGCACCAATAATTTCCATGAATGAGACCCACTGAATGAATAGCTCTACTTGCATTCATGTGTTCCACATTTCAGCTATAATGGGAGAGAAGTCTTGCCTTATTATCCAGTACTGTGATCAGACAAGCTTTACATGAACATACATTTCAAAATTATGTCTGAGTTGTGCAATCAGATAGGCTATTGTGTGAGATCAAGAACATTAAATTTCTATCATGGTCCCCCTCCTTTTTATCATCATCTCCTCTCTAGAAAAACATGATAGTGACTACTTGGCCCTTGCCTGTAGCTCTTTTGCAAGTGAATTCTTCGGAACTTTTGTCACCAGACGACACCGACAGGATGGAAACCCACCACTGGTTGGCCATTGAAGGTGTAAGTCAATAGCAGCCAATTTGGACCAACTTAACCAAGAAAAAAACCTGTGTATTACTTTTGCTGAAACATGTGGAGTCTAGTCCTCCCAAATAAAATTCAGTTCTAAGTGGCTAAATTAGACAAATTATAGCCTAGAGCCCACCAGAAATCTAGTCAAGTTGAATTCATTTGGCTAAGTTCAGAAATGACATCAGAAGATAGTTATAATCTGTCGTCGTTCAAAATGCTCAACACCATCAATTGACAATGTATTTATATATTAACTAAGCTGGATGACTATCAAACAATCAATCACGTCTCTTTCTAATGGTCTCATATTTTCTGCAGCTTATGCAATCCCTGATATGTCTTGAAACTGCACAGAAACTAAAGGCTTTGTCTTGATGTGGCATGCTCAGATGGAGGCCTTCAATGTCAAGGTTCTGTTTGACAACACTGTAGATGTTTATGGATTTTGGTACAGAATTTTGTTAGTATTAGATTTTCTTGATTATTGTCATCTTAAAATCAACTCTAATGAATCATTCATCTATGATACAAATAACATCAATATTCCTGAATTAGACTTTGGTACAGAAATAGTAAATCATGTTCCATCAAAAATATTTAAATCAATAAAATCAATATTCCAAAATACTAAATCTGGAATATGAATTTGAAAAATAGAAATTCATATATGATATCATCAGAAATAGCAAGCATAAATTGCAGACAGTGCAGAGATGTGAAGGAATGAAGGGAAATTGAAATAACTCATGGAGATTCTCGGAGCTGTGCGTAGAAAGAGATGTTAAGTCTGTGGATCCAAGATTTGGAATCCTAAACTAGCACCAACGTCCATTCTTTTAGTCTAGTGTCTTTCTTCAAATCTGCTACTGATATTGCTTTTGCCTCATTCTGCGTTACAACTTCCTATCAGCTAAATCCTTTGGAATGGAGTGGGAGGAGGTGAAGATTGATTATTTAGAGGAGGAAAAAGAGATTAGAATCAATCTGCTTTCAAAAACAGACCTCAAGCGAACTAAGAAAAAACTAAAATTTCCAAGCCCTAACCTGTTTCGCTGTTGTCGTTTTTGAGGTGATTCGTTCTTCTTATCCACTCAAATCTTAAAAGAATGGAGGAGGAGATGTTAAGTCTCACTGCTTCGCTACTGAATGGAGGAGGAAAAGGAGAAGCCGAACTGTGAGTATCATCATTTGCATTTTGGGCATAATCGCATATAAGAATGAAAGAAAAAAATTAAGTGTCGTAAATTATATTTAATACCTAAACTACCCTTAGTAGCATGAAGTACAACTACAATAAAGAGGCTTTATATAGATGCCTCTAGATAAGTTCAGCTGAACTGTCGTAATTGACTTAGAGGCATTTTTCCCTCCCGCCCCTAAAAGCAATCCTTCTAGTAGTGCCTAATGCCTTAGAACAGATCTTCTCAGCCAGGAAGCTTCCAAATAGAGCCGAGATTACCCGATTCTTCTAGGCTTTAGAGTCTGAGTCAATCAAGTCCTTAACTTTCAATCCTGACCTCTCAGAGTTGTGAGGGCCAAAAGGTTTAAAATAGGGGATGTCAGGGATCCAAGGGTCTTCCACTGGGTCTACATTAAGGCCACTAGTTATTTTCCAATAGCTTCCTTCCTACAATCATACTCCTAAAACCCCAAGAACAGTTGGTGGGAGATTTGACTGACCAAAAGGATTTACCTCTAAGATACTTACCTTCTACCAATCTGCTCCACAAACTAGATTTATTCTCAACAAATCTCCATGCAAGCTTAGTTAGCAGGGCTAGATTAAATAGTTTGAGGAATTCTGTTGCTCATATGTGTTGGCCCAACGGGGTCTAGAAGAATCTGGCTCTCTTTCTGGTAATTGCCCCGTTTGGCTAATCAAGACTGGATAAACCTTGGGATTAAACATGCTCTTTTGATCTCTAACCCTTGCTTTCCCTACGTTTTCTTTAAAACCAAACATAGTCTTATTGTACCTCATGATGTGTTTGGTTGCAGTGCAATATTATTTGCATTAATACAAACGTATAAGAGCGCAAATGAAAAAAATGTAATTTCTTGTTTAATTTTGTTTTGGGTTTTATTTTATTCTGATTTATGTCTTAATTTACTTTATTTCTATTGCAATCAAGCAAAATAAGCTAAAATTTGAAAAAGAAAAAAGGTCAAATTTACACTAAAATCATTTGCACTGCCATAATTTTGCATCAATGTAAATTTATTTGCATTGCAGTCAATTAAAGACAACCTCAATTCCTTGTAAACTCTTCAAAAGAAACCCGTGTACCGAGTAAAATTGATATATGGATTGCCTTTAGGACTGTTCATAAGAAGATCCACCCCGACCAAACCGACCAACCCAGACCGACCCAACCCGAATTGGCCGGGTTTTCTTTAGCATCGGTCGGTTTTGGGTTGTAAAAAAATCATAAACCGATGGTTCAGGTCGTTTCGATTTTCACATATGAAAACCGAAACCGACCCGAACCGAACCGACTTAATAGTTAGTAGTCAGTTCCTAGTTAGTATTTACAACCTACTTAGTTCCTACTTAACTAAGTTGTCTCTATCCTAGTTACAACCTAACTTAATTTCTAGTCTTCTAGTTAGAAATGACATTAATGGCAAGTATTGTAAGACAACTAAACAAGAAATTTTTTTGGAAAAGTTTAAAAAAAAGAATTAAAGGATCCTAGTTTTTATGGTCTTTTACACCAAATAGGCAACCAATTACAAATAGAATTAGGTGTCCATTTTTACTTAGATCAGAAGGTTTCTTGAAATATACAAATTTCAGACTTCTTTCTCTAATACAGTTTGACTTTCTATTTTCTTGATAACTTCTATTCTAACTTGGTCTGCCCCCTACCAATTTCAGTCTTCTTTCTCTAATAGAATTAGGTGTCATTTTTTACATCAAATTTCAGTCTTCTTTCTCCAATCTACCAATTTATTACCATGGTTGAACTTAGAGCCGAAACCGACCCAAACCGACCTAACCCGACTCAAACCGACCAGGTTGGTTTTGCTTAACATAGGGTCAGTTTTGGTTTGAATTTCAGGTAACCCGACCAGGTTGGGTCGGTTGAAAAAATCTCAATAAACCGACCCAATCCAACCCGTGAACAACTATAATTGTCTTGTTGGGCTTCAAAAAGAAAAAAAAATAATAAGAAAACAACGGGAAAGCAACACCATGATTTTTTGGTAGATAAAAGGAGGAGCTACACAAGCTGAGGTAGATCGACCCCAAATATCACTCAAATAGATACACAATAGATTACTAGAGAGTGATGAAACATTGAAGGGGAGGGAATTATAAGAGGAAAGGAGAGCTTGACGCACCAGCCAATCCATTCCTTGATTTGCTTCCCGATAAGAGTGAGTGTAAACAACACCATACTGCAGCCACTCAGCCATCTTCCAGCAAGAGTCTAGATTACCTACTCACTTTTCCTATCCACTCTCTACTCGCCGTGAATTGGAGTTATACATATCTCAATTCATAATAGAGATGTGTGGCTCCAATTCACGGCGAGTAAAGAATGGGTAGAAAATCCCGAGTATTCCAGCAATCCTTCATAATAGACTCCAACTTTCAAGGAACATCAACTTGATGCTTCAAACAAGAGATCACAAGGAAAGAATGACCTTCAATAATAATAGAACGGTTTTTGAAATTTTAAGTTAGGCTTCCCAAACAGCTCAAGCCTCAGCAACATTTATCGTGGTCGAACCAATAGAATATGTTTTGGTATCAAGGACATTCCCCACGTTGTTCTTAGCTATACAAGCAACTTTTTTTTTCAAAAACACAGAATTCATTCAGTACTATTTGAGAATGCACATGTGCTGACTATCTCCTCTGGCTATGGGCGCAAAATGTTCTGATAGCCACGTAGGAGGAGTGCCAAGAAATTCAAAAGGCTCCTTACTTTTACATGCTTCATGAGCCATTACATGGGCTAAATTTAAAGTACATGATATTGATATATATTGAAAATTACAATATTCAAACTGTTTGACCAGCTGTTGAATTAAAATAAAATAGTAGCTATACAAGCAATTGAGCACACCCTATTATCATTTTTTGAGGCATCAAAGTTGATTTTAATGATCCCCTCTTTTGGGATATAATTTGTCTCCATAATTTGCTTTTATCCAAACTTGGGTCCCTAGCATCGTAAGACTTTAATTCCAAGTCCAAATTTGTAGCCCTTCCGATGATGACGGATGGTGGGGAGCTTCAGTTCTGAAAAATTTTTTCATTCTATTTTCCATAAAAACCATAAATGAGACAACTCTCTTTTCTCGAGCCATAGTTTTTCATCTCCGCTGTCTTTATTCAAACCGGTCCACCAATCTAAGATTGAAGACCCACTATCCTCCGGGCCTGCTGCAATACTAGAGTTAATTGTAAGCCAAACTTGCTTTGCTAAGGAGCAATTCTTAAAAATATTATGGATGTCCTCTTTATCCCCACAAATACAACAATCCTCGTCAATGGGGACTCCTTTAGCAGCAAGGAACACTTTAGAGGGAAGCTGATAATTCAACAGAAGAAGCATAAAGGTCTTGATTTTAGGGGGGACCCGAAGACCCTAAATCCTATTAAAGAGCAAGTTATGTTCGCCAGAACCTCTTTCAATCACACTAGCCTCCTTATAGGCCGATTTAATAGAGAATTTTACTTTGGGGTCCGGTCTCCATAGGGCCTTTATTTAAAGTTTCATTTAAAGGAACTGAATCATCCATCTATCTCCCCAAGAATTTATTTTATTGTCATTTCCAGCAATCTAACCAATGTCCCTCCTTAATAGGAGTCTCCAATTAAGAATTCCCTTCCTTAAAAAGCAACGCCATGTTTGATTAATGGATATGTATCATGTGTCACTCGCTTTTGATTTGAAAAGAAAAAGAAGAACAAAATCACGCACCCTAATAATGTCACATAAGAAATTTATTTCAGGAAAAGTTACTTAATTTTTGGCAAAAATGCGTAAATAAATACTAATACGTCCCCTCACCTTATTCTAATTTCTTCTATTGACTGACATGGCAAGGTAAAAAGTAAAACTACCCTATATTGTCCTTCCATTAGTTGCCATTTGCATTTGATCATAATAAGCAACATTTTAAAACTTAATAGTGCCCCTAATTCACTTTTCTTATATTAAATGAGCCAAAATACCCATCATTACCTTTAATTGGTAGATAATTTATAGCCACATAGTAGATGTTTGGTTAGAGGATTTAATTTGTTGAAGTAAAATTTCCTTGGGGTTGCAATACAAATTTCATTTGCACCAGTGTAAATGCATGCATGGGAGTGCAAAGGGTTGAGTTAGGAATGGGAGCCAAAATACCCAACCCCAATTCACATCGAGGACCCAAATCCCCGAATTTTTTTAATTAAAAACTTGTTTTGAGAAAAAGATTCACTTAAAAAAAAAAAGAAAAAACACTAATCTAATTTGGTTTAACACTTAATTAACACCATTCATCATTAATCTCTAAGACAACATAAAAAATTGAAATTTGTATAATGGTATTACTGTAATTTTACAGATTTGCTTTAAAAATTTAATCTGTGTGTGTTATGTGTGTATGTATGCATGTATAATTACACTTAGGGTTGGGTTAAGGTAGGGACTTCACTCCCCATCTCCCATCAAGTATCTTAACTGGTCCCTTTCCATGTCCTTGCCCCCATTAAAGTAGTCTCCATCCCCAACCCCATCAGGTCAAGGAGGCCAGGTGCCCAAGAGAAATTTGCCATCCCTAAGTTGAGGGTAAATTTTAGTTTACTTTTGATTTAGATTTGACTTTTTGATGACAACCATCATCCAAAAGAAGATACAAAATTACAAGAGAGGATGTAGCTTGCCTTTAATCACCATCTCAATCCAAACCCATATAAAGCTTAAAAAAGAATCAAACATACAACTATTAAAAAAAAGCAAAAGCCATTAGAAAGTCTAATAGTCTTTGCGGAGCACTTGCAAAGTAGGATGCGATGATGTAGTTCCACTTTGTATGAGATAGATTTGAAGTAAAAAGAAAGTGGTGCAAGTTTTGCTTCAGTTTTTGAGATGTAAAACATGCACCACTAATGAGTTAGAAAGAAACAAAAAAGTACAAATTTTGTATTAGATAATAATGCAAATTAAATCACAATTACAACAAACAAAAATAAAGGCAGTCTTAATACAAATTTTGTGTTAGATAATAATGCAAACTCTGAGCTCAATCAAGATTTGCACGGCAACCAAATGCAGCCTTAAGAATATTAATGATGGTGGGGCTAAGGAATCACTAATTTCAAAAAAAAAAAAAACAAAATATACATTTTAGAATAAGACAAAAGGATTTCATGACATCAGAATGAGGCATCACCTCAGTTGCAAACGCAAAGCTATTACATAAAGCTTGAGGCATCACCTCAGAATCCAATGACAAATAGAAACGAGTCGAGATTTCCTTCCAACAAAAATCCCAACCAATACATTTTAATATGATATGTGTCTCGACATCACATGCATGGTGGATCCCAGTCTCGTGGGAATTGGAAAACCAGATTTACTCCTCACACCGACCTTACATCTAGATGGGTTTCCCCACAGAGCTCGCCTTACAGCTACAAGCTTACAAGTGCCGTACAGCCCATCCCTCCCGTGAATTGGGAACATTTCCCATAATTAGCAGGGAGATGGGCGTGCTGTGTGCAGATCCCATCCTGTCTGATGAATCGTTACAAGTGACCATGAATCCAAACATTTAAATGATGTGTGAGATCACATCTGCGACTCACCAGAATCGATGATATCATTGTCAGAAAATGTTCTTATTACATGGCGGGAATGTGTTGTGGGGCGCCCCCAGATCTGAACTCATGGTGTGTGTTAAATTGTCAATTGATGAATGGGCATTGTGCAGAGCTGGGAAATCCTGCCAATAAAACATATTCCAACACCTTTTCAATATGATCTGATAGGGTACATCACATCGTATTATGAGACTAGGACCCACCAGATCCAGTCATACATGAGATGGTACTGTTGAGAGGGTGTCTTTCTTCGCAGATGATTGAGTCGGCTAGACTTTAGTATCGGTTTGAGATGACTTTCACACAACAGCTTCTAGCATTACATGATCTGAGGAACCCCGAAAGCTGTATCCTGTTTGGGAGGGTTTCCACGTTAAATACAATTTATGGCGTTCATGTCTGGGCCCAGATCGAAACCCCTTAAGATGCGTGCCCGACTGCAGAAAACCCTTCAAAACAGCCCTTGATAAAAAAATCTGAAAGTCAAAACAAATATCGTGTTTCTCAAGTGGCTTAGTAGGTATTTGGCATTGATGTCATTGCTTTAGAGATGTTTTTTAATAAAATGATACTGTATGTATGAGTGTTTATTGCATCATCTTTTTAGAAAATGACTTGTTTTTTATGGTTTGTTTGGCATCAATACTGCTATATAGGCTGTTTTCTGGACAAATAACATTGGTTTAATTTGATATTAATGATATATAACCGTTTTTAATATTGGTGTACATTATTCAATGCTCAAGATGATGCTATATTATTGCACCAATGGCAGCAATAGACTATTTTTTTAAAAAATATTGAATATGATATTTCTTTATACTACACTTTCCCAATTTCTAAAATATAGTCGGAAGCACCGCTTTTTCTGAACAAACAATGCCAAATAAATGATATTTTCTGAAGCACCGCTTTTTATAATGTGATACCATTTTCTGTAAAAACGGCATCGATGCCAAACCCGGAAACATCGTTTTAATTAATTAAGTCAACGGCAACACAGAACGGCAGAAGCACTCACAATCACAAACGGCGCCTTAGACTGGAGTGAGCTCGGTGATCCCAACCCGTTTTGAACGCGAGAAGCCGCCGTTGGCACTTGGCACGGACGCACGGTTGCGCCACAATGGACGAACACCAACTCACAGCGCTGTAAAAGCGCAGCAGCGCTTGCTCTTGCACGACCAATTACCTAACAAAACTGTCATTGAAGTAGAACGAAATTTCAACCGTGAGAAAGGGTAAATTGTCTTGTGGGGTTGGTCAGACCGTCAGAGTGTCACTGTGACTCGAGAGAGCAATTCACCAACGTCTTTTGTTTTCTTGAACGGAACAACCAAAGAAAAAGGCTCGTGGCTCGACCTCGAAGCCTCCTCGAACCATGGGACTCTGAGTCTCTGAGTCTCATCTGACAGCGAACGATATCCATAATATCTTAGAAATAAACCCGCTTACGCCCAAATTCTGAGATATTCCGATATCTATATTCGTATTCTGTCTCTCTTTCCCTGCTTTTTATTTCCCTCCTTGATTTGTTTCTGCGATTTCCAGCAGAAGTTCTTCCTTTTTTCTAGATCTATACCTTTGAATTTTATTTTTTCTGTTAATTAAGAAAACATGTCAGACGCGTTGATCAATGGGTTGGCTGGTGCTGGAGGAGGGATTATTGCTCAACTCATCACATATCCCCTGCAAACTGTAATTTCCAATTTGTTTCGATTCCTTCTTCCATCTCGGAGTGGAGCTGGATTTTTAGACTTGTCTACCTCTTTCCCTTTTCTGGACGGTATTTTGAGTTATTTGTGGGTTATGGAATCGTGTAGGTTAATACTCGTCAACAGACAGAACGTGATCCGAAGAAGACGAGGAGGAAAGTTGGAGCCTTAGAACAAATGTGTCAGGTTTCCTTTCTTTCTTTCTTCGTCCTTTTTTTTTTCATTTGTTTATTTAAGTAATAAAATAAAGCTTGGTTTTAAATATCCTGTATAAGATTGTCGAGGATCATTTTTCTCCGTGTGGTTGGTTTAATGGGATACAGGTGGTTAAGCAAGAAGGATGGGAGCGTTTGTATGGAGGCTTGACGCCGTCCTTAGTGGGTACTGCTGCATCGCAGGTAATAAGCGCATTTTCCTGGTCTTCGAAGTTCTGCTTGACATGAACTGCACATGCCCCTGGTTTCGTATTTCTACGTGCCTACCTGTTGGTGCACTGGTTATTTGGACGATGGTTTTTCCTGCTTATCTTTTTTTGTGCCCCTTTGGCGTGTTTTAGTCTGTACCCTGGCATTTTAAAGAAGAGATTAATTGGGAAGTTTTCCTACTTTGCATTGCTTAGATCATGAGGCAAGATTACCATAAGTAATTCATTTCTTCTAATTCAGTTGAAGCCCATGGAGATCTCATGCTTTCATAGGTTTAGTAAAGAAAGAATAGCTTAGCAGAATTTAAAAACATGGCATTGCTTGGATCATGATTCAAGACTCAGCTACTCAACTCAACAAAGCCTTCTCCCAACTATATGGGGTCAGCTACATGAATCCTGTTCCTCCATTCTGCTCTGTTCAGTATCATATTTCTCCTTAAATTAAGGGGGATCATGATTCAAGACTCCACCATTAGTAATCGATGCGTAAAAGTCATGCTTTGGTGGCTTTTCAGAGTCTAGCTTTTCTATGAGATCATTCTAGTTTTTTAATGGTATCCTTTTTCCTCCAAGTTTATAACTTGGACAGTTACAATTATAAATTGAAGTATGAAAATCTATGTTCAGAAAGGAGTACCTATGGACAAATTTATTAATGTTAGCAAAGGCATTATTATCAAAATGAGACTACATGGTCTTTTCTATGATGGATGAAGCATCATTCTCCATTCTCTGCTTATCAACTGTACATGGTAGTTTACATTTCCCCTGTAAAGTGAGTTCTAGGGTTCTTATAAGGCTTTACATGCACTATGTTCTATTACATAAATCTCTGTCTCAAATAGCACAGAATATATATCATGTCACCAATCATATTCAGCTCTAGGTGGTTCCACTGTTGAGTAACAAACTCAAGTATTACATTGCATTCTTGTATCATATTATATGTACATAATTATGAAAATAATTTAAAATTCAATCCTTGATCCTGACCGTAGTTTGACCTTGTGTTGCTCTTCTTTTTTTTGGATGATACTATCCTTAAATTTGCATTTAATTATGCTCCATGCTATTGGAACAAATGGATTAAAATTGCTTGTACAATTATCTAAAGTAGCACTATGTGGCTTCAGTGGATCTTAATAAGAAGTTAGGCTTTAATGCAAGATATCCATTTTATATTTCCACATGAAAGTTTGATGTTGAAGAAATACTGTTCCTAAATTAGCATTTAAATAGTTTTCCATGTTATTATAAAAGTGGACAAATATTGTTTATGCAATTATCCTCAGTAGCTCTTGGAGGCTTCACTAGATCTTAATAAGAAGCTAAATTTTAATGTATGATAAGATGTTCATTTTACATTTCTGAGATGCAAGATCAAGAAGTCGTATAGGATCCCTCATCTGAAAGATGTTTAGGCATGTTTGCTTTTGTTGCTGCTGCTTCTGTTGCTCTCTTTCTCCTCTTGATGAAAATTGACTTGTGTGGTCAACTTAGTCATGGTGACTAATTATCATAAAAAAAAACTCAGTCATGGTGACTGTCCTAAAGGGGATAATAAATGAATCAGCATATTTAGGCAATTTTTGAGTTGGGTTTTCAGCTCTTTGCTCATTTATTCAATGTTATTTTGGTATAGGGTGTTTATTACTACTTCTATCAAATATTTAGGAGCAGGGCAGAAGTTACTGCACTTGATCGTTGGAGGAAGGGAGTTGGTGATGGATCAGTAGGGATGTTATCGTCACTTGTCGTGGCTGCATTAGCAGGGTGATTTATTCTTATGAAAAATTTTCATGATGATAGTTTATCTTTGCAATCCTAATTTTACTCCTTGTAAAAGGATATTACTTTTCAACCTGTCTGTAAACTCAATGGTCTCAATGGTAATAATTAAGCGATGTGGTTATGTTTCCCTTTTATAGGTCAAAAAGAGTCATTACCCACGGTTGTCCCTGGTTATCTGGAGTCTTGGGAGGGTGGATTGGATATGGACCTACCTTTGACATTTTTTTTTTCATTAGGTGGCTTCTCTCAGACTTGAACTGATTTTCTCATGATTGTCAGTCTGAGATTTTACCTTTGCACTGAACTATGACCCATGTTATAGGTTATACCTAAAAGAGATCAAAGCATTTCTGTATGTGGAAATTTACAGGCTGCACTCACCATTCCACCTAAACAACTTATATCTCAAAATGGGTGTAATTGGATGATTGCATCCACCCAGTCTCTGGCCACTTTTTTCACCATTTAGAAATTTGTTCTCAAGCTTTCAAAGAGTTTGTGTAGATCAGAGTTGACAATAATCCATTTAGATTGTTATTCCTTGGACATTTTGTTGTCACAACCAATCAAATGATGATTAGTGAACCTCACATATGAGATTCATGTATGACTATATATACATGACTATAGAGCTAGACTATATGTTTTATTACCACCTATCCACATTTACCAAATAGGTAAGCATATAAAAATAAAATAAAAATTTATTGTAATAACCAAGCCATAAATTTCCCTTAACCACTGCAACCTCTGAAAGCATCTTTTCCTGTAATGCTGCTTGCGGGGTAGGCATATTGCCCTTCAGTATACATTATACGAGTTGGAAAACCAAAACCAGAGAAAAGTCATAAAATCAAAGCAAAGAAACAAACTGAAAATACAAGATTTATGTGGTTTGGCAACGTTTGCCTATGTCCACAGATGAACCCTGCAAAATTCTACCATATTCTCAACTGCTATAGTGCTATTAAAAATCACAACTTCCTCTTTCCAGTTCCCAAAGAGTAGAGTTTCTCCTCTCATATGCCCCAATTCAACCCCAATGAGAATAAAATCTTGCCTACCAGTTCACATACCTCCCAACCTGCATGTCTCCCTATACAAGACATCTACACAATCTACACAATATCATGTGGTCCATATCTTGCCTATTATATTAGCATGGTTTTAGTCTAATGAAGTTATCGGTAGCACTGCTACCAAATAACAAAAAAAAGTTATCAATTTGTGGTCACTTTTAGCTTATAACCTATTGCTGCCTGAAGTTTTCCTTACACAATTGTTTTTGTAGGTGTGTAAATGTGCTGTTGACTAACCCTATATGGGTAGTTGTTACTCGTATGCAGGTAAAACTTGTTGATTTCACTGCCATTTTCCTTTTAACATTATCTCTTTTAACTCTCTAAATTCAGATGTCATCAAAATTTTGTTTATCTGTTTTATTCAGCCAGGTGGCTCAGGTCCTTTCAATTTTGAAAATTAGGCCTTGTGAATCTTTCGTTCACTGATTTTCTTAAAATTGGATTTGAATTATCTAATGAAATTGCAACTCATTTTGAGCTATCTTATCTACATTTCTTCTCAAATAATGATTTTTAAGCATGGAAAAGCATTTAATAATGGTACCAAGGTAGTGTGCACAAGATTGGAGTTGCCTTCTATAAATAACCTTTTACCTTTTCTTGGGAATTTCTGGTCTTATGGAATTCTTGAATGACTCAATAGTTTCCTGTTGCACCAGCATTGATTCTTCTATAAAATTATGTACTTTTTTTTTTCAATTATCACTGTAGATTGATCTCTGATTAGTGGATTGCCCATATTTTTCAACTACTCATGGTTTCATTCCCCAGTTATTCACTGAATTAGTGAAAGGTTCAGTTATTATACAAAATAATCTTTTTCTCTAATCAATCTAAAGAGTTGGGATCTGTTCCCAACACAACTCCAAGATCTGTGTTGACACATCTCACCATGAGACTGGGATCCACCATGTCTGAGATGTGCAGACACAGATCATGTTGGAACGTGTTGGAATGGTTTTTTACTGGGAGCAGATCTGGACTCCAATCTAAACAACTAGGAATAGAATGAAAAAAAATATTAATTTATTTTATTGTGTTTAGTTTATCCAACTGTTTTATTTATCACAATAAAAGTTTATCCAACTGTTTGGCATGCTTGATATGTGCCATCATCTTGCAGACACACACAAAGATGACAACAAAACCTAGACCCAGTCATAATCTATCAACTGTTCCAGATGAAGCGATTCTCGCTGTTGTGGAGACTCCACCTTATGGAACTAGCCATGCTGTATGTCATAGGTTCCTCCCGCCCTTCTTGAGCTTCTGTCATTCTAATGTGCTTTATGTCTGAGTCAAGTGTTTACTTTAATAAATCATTTTTATACTGTAAATATACAATAATCATGCTAGTGGAATGATTAAGTATAACCTGACTTAACAGCTACCTTAAAGCTAAGTTGGCAGTGTCAACATGGTGATTTTCACGATGAATTGTGCCTGACAATTGGATGAGCTTAATTGCTAATTCATGTACTCTTCATGTTTTACATTGAGTTTGTGGAAACCTTAAAGCTTTTTGCAGTCTTTAAAGTTGAAGAATTTTTTAGCTCATGGGGATCAATTGCTCACTCATCATCTAGAAGACAAAAAATAATTGAGGTTTGGTCACCTCCATGTGCTGGATGGAAGAAATTAAATTTTGATGGCAGCTGCATGGGAAATCCTGGACCTTCGGGTATTGGTGGGATAATCAGGGAGGAAAATGGAAATATTCTAGCCATGTTTTCAGGACCTATTCAGCATGGAGATGTGGTGAGATCAGAACTGTTGGCAGCTGTGTATGGGGTGGAGAAAGCTAAAGAGTTGGGGGTCGACAGATTGATTATTGAAGGTGATTCCAAAATTGTTGTGGACTGGCTGAAAAGGGGGGAAGGAGTAATATGGCAGTTAAAGAATGAATTCAGACGTTTCAAGCAGGTTTCTAAAGAGATGATAATCCAAATAAAGTGGATTAGAAGATCTGCAAACAGTGTGGCAGATGGGTTAGCTAAATGTGGAATTCAGAGACGGTCCATGTTTTGGGCTGTTTTGTAAATATTGATAGTGGTTTTGGGCTTAATCTTTGCCCGCAACTCCTTGTTGTGCTCCTTCTTTTTATAATTAATAAATCTTTTTTTTTTGTGTGTTGCTGATCAAAATAAAAACAAAAAATTGAGTTTGTGGATGTAATGAAAAAGGGCCATTACCCAATGTTGTTCCTTGCTATCTGAGGTCTTGGGAGCGTGGATTGGTTATGAAGCTAACCTTTGGCATTTTCTTGCATGAAGTGGTCGCTCTAAGACTCAAATCTATATTGTCATGCTTGTCATCCTGAGATTTTACCATTGCACCAAGCAATGACCCCTATATTTCAAGAAAGATAAGTGTAGCTTTAGATGGAATTTGTAGCAGAGAACCTATATTTTTAATCACAGACACAATAATTAATTTGTAGCCGACTCCATATAGTTGGGATAAGGCATGGATGATGATGAAGACAACAATTAATTTGGTAGTGACTTGAACATGGTTCCTAGCTGAAGAATAGTCTCCATATTCTTCTGGCATATGGTTGGTGTAAACTGATTTTCTCTTTTTTTTTTTTTCTTTGTGATGTGATTTAGTCACTGATGAGTTCCTATTTAGCTGAATCAACAAGATAAATTGGATTTTATTGCAGATCTGTTTGGGGGTAAAACATGGCCTCATATCATGCATTATGTGATGAACATGACATGTTAAATACAGTAACAACTAGAAACTTGACTAACTATTTACATTTTAGACAATCCCGTGCGGATGTTGGAAAAGAAGAGTTGAAATAACTCGATGTGTTTAATTGCTTTTCTAATTTATTATAATATCATGAAACTGGAAACTGATGATTATACAGAAGGCCCCCTTGTAATTTTATATTTTATAAATAAATAATTCCTATAATAAAAATTTTAAAAATGAAACTTTATTCCATAGTTTTTAGAATGTCTAATAAAATTTTTAGGAACAGTTCCTGTATCATTAGTTTTTAGAATGTCTTCTTTGTTTCTCTCTGAACATTATTAGTGTACCATATGGTACTTAAATAACTAAAATATGTAGAAAGGAATTCCTTCAGTAAAGATCATTTTGGTGTTTGTTCAAAGACAATTTTAGCATATACTTTTTATTTTTAAAAATGAACATCATAAAAGGATAAGAAATTGAGGCAGCCTGTCTCTCCTAAAACTTGTTTCCCATTCAGAAGAACCTGGGCTTATGGTGTTTTTTCTACCATTCTTAACCTTTTCTCTTTAAGTTAGACAAAGACATGATGCCTAATGAGAAGTGTAATTTCAACACAACTAATAATTTCTAATAGATAATTAAATCTCTTTCCACAATGATTTTTGGTTATTGGAGGGTCTACTGTATATCACCTATTCTGTAGTTTTAGAGTTTAAAGTAAATGGGCATGAACAAAGATGGTTCAATTATTTGTAATTCGTGGTTAATGATAATAAGAAGCATATCTGGATGCTTCTTACAAAAATATTTACTATCTTTCATTTGAAAGATATATGTAATTTGTTGCTGATAAAAAAAAATATATATGTAATTTGTTTCATATTTCTTTCTATATTTGTCCCAATTTTCTCATGTGGGTGAAGGAGGATGCTTTAATGTGCACAGGTCCAGGAAGTCTATGATGAAGCTGGAGTTTGGGGTTTTTGGAAAGGCGTATTTCCAACACTTATAATGGTAAGCACTAAGTCTTCTAGGTACCAAACAAGTGAGAGGAGTTAAAATTTGTCTGCTACCATTGCAGGTGAGCAATCCATCCATACAGTTCATGTTGTATGAGACCCTGTTGAAAAAGTTGAAGGGGAGACGCACCACAAGTAAGAAGGGAAATGATGGGGTAACCGCTTTGGAGGTGTGCTTTTAAGTCCAAGTTTTTAATGTTACTTCCTTTCTAGTTAGGTTTTGCATAATTTCCTGCTCTTACACTGCATGGATTTTTTCTAGATTTTTCTTCTTGGAGCTGTCGCTAAACTTGGAGCAACTGTGGTGACATATCCCGTTCTTGTTGTGAAGGTAACTGACATAATCTCTAGGAGTAGTAGTATGGTTTAGAATATTGCCAAAGTTGCTTGTTAACTTCTCTAGATCAAATTTCAACCTTGCGAGTCAAATCATACTGAAGCTCATTTATGATTAAGACAACTAATACCTTGTGATTCAATGAATTAATTAAGGAATCTAATGGACTCCACTGTAGTGAATTGATCGGATTTTTCTGTTTTAGAATTTATTGGGAAAAAATTCATACTGATAAGGGGATTTTTGCTTTACAAAGTAGTAGTCTCTTAATGAACATATATTTCTAATAATTTTGAATATTCCTCTTCTAATTATTCTCTGTTTTACTGATTTCTGAAAATGCAAGTGATCAACATCTTCATTGCAGCAATTCCTGTTCCTAGGTTTGAAATATTGCCTTGAATTTGATTTAGTAAATCATTTTTCTTTTTTTTTTTTGTTTGTTTTATATTTCTGCATTAGCTAGAGTTAAGTACCATGGTTGAGGTGCAGTATGCAAAAACCAATTTACCTATGGTTGAAGTGCAGTAGGTCAACCAATTACTCCTTATCTGGTTGGCATATGCTTGTATATCTATTTTAGGATGGATGCTTCCAATTGATTTGTATGTTTTAATTTCAAATTTCTTGTAATTTGTTCGTGCACTGTTTTTCATTTTTGAATCATTCTATCACATATGCAGGCGAGGCTTCAAGCAAAGCAAGTTACTGGTGGTGACAAAATGCTTCATTATAAAGGTTTGGAACTTCATATTACTATTTTCTTTTGATTTATTTTTGTTTATCCTTTGATAAGTAGGAAATAGTTATCATGTAAATAATTAAGAAGTAAAAGGATCTATTCCCCATATACAGAAAATTACATGGACACCATACAGAAATTCATGTAAATAGATGTACCAAATCACAAATCAAAAGAAGAGTGGAAAATGACTATTGTTAAATCCTGACAAAAGTAATCCTACTTGAAGTCTTCAACCACTTGCATTCTTCTAACTTAAGGACCAGATAGGATTTTTTTTTTTCAATTTTCCTGTAACTGCCTCACAGGAGAATCTCATCTTCAAAATGTGGATCTTACATTCCTTCAACAATCTTCAACATAAGTGTAAAATGTATTTCATTTCTACAAAATGTGTCCCATTATACTAGGTTACTGATAAATTCGAGAGTAGCTGTTATATGAGGAAGTGGTATACCTTCCAGATGGCAAAGAATAGCCCTGGCCTTTTGCAACCAAAGGTCTACTTGATTGGATTATCTCAAATATCGAACAAGTAGACCTGTTACTGAGATCATTTTTCTTAATAGATCATTTTACAGAGAATTTCAATTTACAAGAATTTATGAGATGGTCAAACTATGCATTGTGCAGACATGGAACCGAACAGATCAACTGTTCTCCATAGTCATTCTGCTAATATTCTGATGGAATGTTCCTTTAATGCAGGTACTCTTGATGCGATTATGAAGATGATCAACCATGAAGGCTTTTCTGGCTTTTACAAAGGGATGAGCACAAAAATTGTACAAAGTGTGTTTGCTGCTGCCATTCTATTTATGGTTAAGGAAGAACTTGTTAAAGGGGCCCGTATGTTGGTGACAAGGAATGCCAGCTTGATTAAAGTGGCAAGATCTAAGCCCCCATGATTTTTGTGTTGTTCTTATCTTTTTCTTTCTTGTATTAAGTTTTGGTTTTCTTTAAGAATCTTGGTAGCAATTGCTTGACCTAATTTGTACATTGGAAATGAAATGCCATTGCGGCACAGCATTGTAACTTTTTCTCGGTAAACATGTCTTGTAACTTGAAATAGAAGGGGAAAAGGAATAAGATGATGCATCATCATCATCCATCCCTTATCCCAACTATATGGGGTTGGCTACATGAATCCTGTTTCACCAATCCATTCAATTTAAAACCATATCCACTATTAAATTATTAGTGCTTAAATCATTTCTTACCATTTCTACCCATGTATTTTTTGATCTACACCTAGCTCTTAGCCCCTTCCACTTGTAATAAATCACAACTTCTAACTGGAGTTGTTGGTGGTCTTCTATGCATGCGACCAAACCATCTTAGCCTACTCTTATCTCATTTTATGGTTTACTGGAGCTACTCTTAGGTTTCTATGGATGGCTTCATTCCTGATCCTATCCTTTCTAGTTTTTTCTACTACTCATTTTCTGAATAAAAGGAATAAGATGACTGTTGACTCAAAATAATTCCAAATATTATATATCTCTTACCCATTTAGATGTTCTTATTTTTTACATTGACATGTCTTCAAAGTTGTTCCAATAGGTGTGATAAAATAAGAGAATGTAGACTAAGATGGTTTGGTCATGTGCATAGAATCATTTACAGCACCCCAGTAAAGAATATGCAATCTGTTACAAGTTGAAGGACTAAGGACAGACCAAAGAGGACATTGGGTTGAAGTAGTAAGAAATGATTTGAGCACTCATAATTTAATAATGGCCAATGATTTGAGCCACCAAAGCTAAAGACCAGGAAAGCAAACTACCACTATTAACAGACACTACAACTACCACTAACTACAACAAGGAACTCTAACAATTCTACTACCCAGCTGAGAGTTCTGCAAGTCAGCAAACAAAAGGGGAGAAAGCCAATCTGGAGTACAACCAATGAAAGTAGCTGAACCAATGAGATCCTGTTTGATGTTCTATGGGCTACCATATTAGCATCCCTACGGACCCAGATGAAAGAAGCATCCATATCTCAACTAAGGACTTCAATATCCTTAAGAAAAAAGAAGATTTCTTTCGGACAACCTTCACCATGCTTTGAATTTGATAGGCAGGAAATTAACTGTTTGCAGTCGCTCTCAAACTCCACTTGAGTACAGTTCAATTGTCGAGCTAGCTTGACCACTTCCAGCACTGCTATGGCTTCCCAATGGTCAACAGAACAAGTTTGACATGAGCCACAATGGACTGCAATGCAACTATGCAAGTGCCTTGATCATCACGAGCTACCACACCAAAATCTGTCTGCCTTTTACTACTAAAAGCTCCATCTGCATTAATTGATGTAGTTTGACTTTGGTGGCTTACAAAAAGATGGGTGCTTCTCTGAGTCATTCTGAGGGAGCGTTGTTGATTGCTCCTCATCATTATCTCCTTCTGTTCCTTCACTAACTTGTTCATCAAACACAGAAAGAGGATCAGGCTTTTCATTATGAAAATTACAAATTACAGTTGTTTCTTGCCAACCAAATATTCCACATCACAATAGCAGATTGCATTAACATAACAGATTTCAAATCACCACCACTATTGCAAATATTAATCTACTCTTTAAAGTTTAAACCAGTCCTTGAAAGAATTAGGGTCGGTTTGGTTCACAGTCGGAATTGGAATAGTCTATTCCCCTCACCTGTTTGATTCAGACTGGAACTGGAATCAGATTTCACTTATTAAATGGATTCTCATTCCTAGGGGAGGGGGAGGGAATAGCCATTTCCTCCATGGTTTTCAAAACCGGACCGGGCCGGAAAAATCGGGAACCGGTCAGGTGACGGGTTCCATTTTTCCCCAAAACCGAATTTTTCTCAAAAACTGTTGATTTTGGTCAGCAAACCGCTGACCCGGGCGGTTAACCATTCGAACGGTTTTGACCGCTTTTTATTTTTTTGTCAGAACGGGCCAACTGTTCTATCTGGGAACTGGGCCCCTGACCGGTTCATTCTCTGGGTCAGTTTTAAAAACCATGATTTCCTCAGATGGGGGAATGCCATCCCACCAGGAATGGGAATGGGATTCTGATTCCGCCCAAACCAAACAGTTGGAATTCTGGATCCCTATTTCCGCAAACCAAATGGACCCCTAGTTGAATTCATGTTAGTCATTCTCACACCTAACCCGCACCCGCAGCCAAACCATATGCTACGAGCCAAGTCACAAGATAGCAGGGCTGATGCTGAACGGCTGAAAGTTTCTCAACTTTTTTCTGAGTTGGGTTGGGTGTTATACGTGGGCTGCTAGCTGTTGCTTTGCCTTCTTTGTAAGTTCATGGGCCTCAAAGTATCCTGGGCCGGGCCATCGGCCTAGCTTCTGTCTATTGTAGTCAATTCCCATATTACCCCAAACCTGTCACTCCGGCAAGGCGGCAACAGATAGCGGATAAGGCTACCAGGCTCTTTTTCTACTCTACAATTACAACTACAGACACTCTCATCAGTGGAAAAGTTTACCTCCGAAACACCGAAAAATGGCGTCGTCTTCAACTTCCAACGCCATTTCTTTCTTCTCCTCCTCGATTTTCCTCACTTCTCCCCAGCAGAACCCTAAATTCTTCTCAGTCCTGATACCCAATTCTCAGAAAACACTTAGGCCCCTCTCTCACTCGCAAACATTAAATCGTCATGCGCCCGGAACGCTGGTAATCCGTTCGGAGGTTGCAACACTTCCCATTCTCTCCTTCGATGGCGAGAAGATTGGAGAAACCTATATCGACCTGAAAACAGCACAACCGGAGACGGCACGGGCCGTCGTTCACCGCGGAGTCGTCACTGATCTACAGAACAAGCGAAGGGGAACAGCTTCGACCCTGACAAGAGGAGAAGTTCGAGGAGGTGGTAAGAAACCATACCCACAGAAGAAGACCGGCCGGGCTAGGCGTGGGTCTCAGCGGACTCCTCTCAGGCCTGGCGGAGGTGTTATTTTTGGTCCGAAGCCGAGAGATTGGAGCATCAAGATCAACCGTAAGGAGAAGCGGTTAGCTATATCCACGGCGCTGTCGAGCGCAACGGTGAATGCGATTGTTGTGGAGGATTTCTCCGATAAATTTGACAAGCCCAAGACCAAAGATTTCATTGCAGCGATGAAGAGGTGGGGAATCGATCCCAAGGAGAAATCCATGTTCTTGTTTACAGAGGTGTCGGACAATGTGAGGTTGTCGAGCCGGAATATCGGGACGTTGAAATTGCTCACACCGAGGACATTGAACCTGTTCGATATATTGAATTCGGATAAGCTGGTATTTACTCGGGAGGCTGTGGATTACCTGAACAGGATGTATGGACTTGACTACGAAGGAGGAGAAACTGTAGATGAGAATGAAGAAGATTATGATGAAGAGGCTGAAGGTTAGTTCGTTGTCTTTGTGTAGCTTTTCTGTAATTATATTTCTTTCTGAGCCCATAGTTTTACTCGTTTTAGTTTTTGTAGGTTAAGTATCTGTTGGAATTGTTCAGTTTATTTCTTTTGGTTACTTGGGCTTGAACTGACTGAACTTTCATGTTTCTTTAGAGCTCTTCTCTTTGAAATTATACGCAATATCATCACCTAAAATCAAGGCTTTCAATGAATTATAATCTTTGGATCCATTACGTTGACTTTGAAATGTTAGCGGCATATATGTATATGCGTAGCAAACACACCATGTTGCTACATAACAGATTTATATCGATACATGTCTCTGGAATTTTATAGGGAAAGTTCCTCATTACAGAAAAAGCATTTCCTTATTCTTTTCTTAGATAAACATACGTAAAGGCATCTAAACTTATCTGCTTTCATGCACACATTCACATGAAGGTGGAATATTTTCAGGAAAGGAGGAAAACTCATAGACAGATGGAAGATTGTTAATGTGCACCCCAGTGGGATAGTGCCAGTCTTTTTTTGAGGTCGGCTGTACTTTTGCACTGAGAAACAAAAATGTACATCATGAGAATTTTACAAAAGTGATATGTCCTTACAGGCACTATTCATTAGAAGTATATGCAATGAAATGACAAATCACATACATAGGGAAGCACCTGAATACTTAGTGTAGCCACATACATGTTAGACACGCATGGATAATCCAGACCATTCATTTGATAGTTCACCATCTGAATTAGCCACATATGGGGTGTTGTCCATGTTGACTCCTAGTCCCCATCATGTATTGCAATATTTTCTCTTAGGGGGTAAAGGCCTTAATGTATTGCCCATAAATTTTCAACTAAACAAGTTTTAAGCAAATCCTACATCAAAAGAATGAAACGTGGCAAAAGAGGCTTGGACTATCTTGAGTTGCCAAGAATATTTTTCTGAGCCACATACCTGGCCTAGTTAAATAAAATCAACTCAGCATTGATCTCAATTTTTTGAGGGTTGTTTAACAAATCCTGTCCTGCCATTTTGCTCTATCAAGAGCCATGTTTTGATTGTTTTCTGCAAATTCTAGGTTCCAACTTCAATAGCTCATTTAATTGCTTACCTAGAAGTGCTAACATCTTTCCAGCAAAAAAAAAAAAAAAAGTGCTAACATATTGGAAACTCTTTGGCAAGGGCTGGGTGGCAAGGGAGCAACTAGAATGGGGATGTCCAGGGCTGGGCTGTAATTTGTAACAGACTGTTTTCTTTTGTTTTCCTTTGTTTTCGTGCTCCATGTCTTTTGGAGTCAACCTTGTACTATTCAGCCTACTGCCCACTTTGGTGAGGTTTTTCTAATGAAAATTTCAGGTTATTGATAAAAAAAGGTTAAAAAAAGGAGCCTTGTACTGAGACTCTCCTCACTAGTACAGTCATCTGCCATCTATGCACATGACCAAATCATCTTAATCATTTTCTTTATCTTGTCACTAATTGGAGTTATTCCGAAGTCCTCTTTAATACACTGACTTCTGATCCTGCCCTTTGTAGTCTTTTTTTTTCAAGGTAAAAAAAAGGCTATTACTTAATATCAATCCCAGCTATTTATGGTTTTTGGAGGGGTAGACTGGATATGAACCTAACCTTTGGATTGTTTCACAAACTCATTTGCTTCTTAATTGCCTAGCACTTTGTCTCATATAGTAATGTTGGTCTTAGCTGTTTTATAGAGTTTCCCTTTGTCTCATTGGTATGTGTCGGTCAACACATTGGATGCAACTCTCTGCTTCAGCCACCTTGCTGTAACTATATGACCAACATCCTCTTTAATTTCTCCTTCATTATGGATGATTGATCTAAGGTACCGGGAATGATTAGTTTGGGTTATCTCCTGATAATAAGTCTTACTTGCACCACCATTATTATTATTGTTTTTACTAAAATTGCAAAACAGGTATTATTTTGTCTTAGTCCAACTTATCTTGAAACTTTTTTTTTATTCTAAAGCATCTCTCAATTGTTCTAGCTTTGCATTTAGCCCATCTTTGATTATCAATCAATGCTATATCATCAGCAAACAACATACACTACAGGACCTCCTCCTATAAATGTTTGGTTAACTTGTCTTAACTAATGAAGAAAAGATACAGACCAAGTGCTGACCCTTGGTAAACCCATTGTCCTTGAAATTCTTTTATCTCCTGACATAGTGGGAAGTGTGAAAGAAGAAGAGCACCATCTTCTTCAAAAGAAAAGAGAAGAAATGAAAAGAAAAAAAAAACTTGAATCCACAAGGAGAAGATTGTAAGAGAGAAAACTCAAAGATAATTGTATTCAATTCATTGAAATTGATCTTGTACAAGGACCTATTTATAGGCAATTCCCAGCTTTCTCGAAATAGTAAGGTCATTAAAATAGTAAAATTCCTAATGAGACTCTACTCAAAGTAGTAAAACTCCTAATTGGACTCAAACTCTCTAAAACATTACTGAAATAAGGCTCCTAATCAAACTCAGACTCAAAATATGCTAAAACGACTGAGATACAAAACTAACCATAAAAGGAAGGTTTCTAGAAAATTGCCCTTTGGAGTTTCAGTGCTTGTTTGGGCCTCTTTTCTTTGTGATCTTGGGCCTCCAAAAACCTTTCAGCCACTTGTTCTACATCATCTCCTCATCTCCACCAGTTTTAGCTTGTCCTAGAATGCTGGTCCCAAGCCCAAACAAAGGAGGAGTATTGTGTCAGGTTGATTATCAAGACAACCGTTTTCCTTTCCAATATAAATACAAGTTCTGAAACATGGCTCTTGATAGAGAAAAATGACAGAACAGGATTATTGTAGCCAACCCCAAGTAGTTGGGATTAAGGCTAAGTTGAGTCAAGTTAGGCTATAAGCTGAAATATGTTACTTAATCATGAAATTTCCTTTCGGTCCCAAGGATTGGAGTTTCTTTATCTGTCCAGTAAACTTGTTAATTGTTTTAGTGATTCTTTATGATAGATAAAAAGTTTGCTTGTTTATTTGTTTTCCCCATAGCTGTTCTTGTGGGTGTAAAGGTGGCATAATGTTCAATTTTCTCCTGAAATTACCTGAACAATTTTACTTTCCCATGCCTCACATCAGAGATTTCTGTTTCTTTTGATGAAGGTAATGAGGCAGATGAGAGTTCTGATGTGGTAGAGCAATGATGTATAGTATTCTGAAGACCTTTTGGCCCCAACTGTTGTAGATTCATAAGGTCCGTATTGATACTCAAAGGAGTGCTTGCTTTGCCAAGACAAAAGGCCATTTTATGTTTCATGCTGCAAGTGCACTACATTGGATGTTGGTTTTTGTAATGTTTCTGTGTATTTTCTTTGTGCCATTTAAATCATTATATCCTAGAAAATTGCATTTTCTTGTACCAGTTAATGATTTTTGTAATGCTCTTTTTTCTCTACTGGTTTCTGTTTCCTAGTATGGTAGTATTGTTTAGCATGAAATTTGGCAGTAAATTACGAAAGTGGGTCAATTTGGATTTGATTATTTTAACTTTTCAATGGAGCCCAACTATTTGTTATCTGGTTGGTTCTGGATTATGTTCTAATCTAATAAGGTATGACCATAGAGAAGTGTTGGAATCAAAATTCAAAGTTAAAATCCTTTTCTAGTCTATTGCTTGCTAGAGATGGATGATAGACGACATTGAAGAGGAAGAGGAATAGAAGATCCATCTACGATTCGAGGTGTGGTTTGAAAATTGAAATGGGTGGATGTGTCAGATTGAACCTTCAAATTGATGCTACAGACAAAACTATATTTGGCATGTGCAATCGATAAATTTTTCTTCATATTAATTACTTGAGTTTTAGATATATCATAGTTAAATGCTTGTAGTAAATGTGTACATACATTGCATGTGAAAATTTTAAATTACAAACAATTATTATTATTATATTTGGGTAAATTACAAAGACCCCCGTACTATGGGGTTTGTGACAAAGACCCCCCTGTACTTTGTTTTGCGACAAAGATTCCCCTTGTACTATGATCGTGAGACAAAGACCCCCTTCCGTTAGCCTTCCGTTGAAATTAGGGGTGCAACTTGGGTAGACCCAGTCCAAGCCCGAACCGGCCCAACCCAGAATTTTACACGGGCTAGGCTTGGATTTTTGATCCTCAAGTTGGGCTTGGGCCCAAGAAGTTGGGCTTTTTTATTTTTCGGGCCAGGCTCGAGACTAGCCCTTAGGTAACCTAAACCCAGCCCGAGCCCGGCCCAATTATATACATTTATACATATATATGTAAATGTTGCATACATATTTACATATACATACATATTTGTATAGATATTTTGCATATATATATTTACATACATACATAAATATATGTATATATATTTGCATAAATACATTTATATATGTATAATTTTAGAGTGAGTTCATTGACCAACCCGAGTGCATCAAATTATAGGATGGGTTGGGCTCAGGTTGGGAAAATTGGGCTTGACCTCAGGCCCGGGCCTTAAGCCCAAATTTTAGGGCCGGGCTTGGGTTGACCATAAACCTGACCAACCCGCCCAACTTGCACCCCTAGTTGAAATCCACCGTTCCAATATTTTTTAATCCCCACACTACCCTTGTAATAACTATTCGGAGAAAAACACTGTTCATCTTCCCCGACCTCACGATACACGAACAGCAGCGGCGGACTTCCGAAGTCCTCCCCCTCTCTCTCTCTCCCCCGATCTCTCTTCTTCCCCGACTTCACGATACACGAACAGCGGCAGCAGTAGCTGTTATCGTTTCCTTCTGAATATTATAATCTGTCAACGTTCGCCCATCCTCAAGTTGCTTTCCAGCAAAGATGAGCCTCTGCTGATCCGGAGGGATGCCTTCTTTGTCCTGGATCTTGGCTTTCACATTGTCTATGGTGTCAGAACTCTCCACCTCCAGTGTTATGTTATGGTTTTCCCTGTAAGAGTCTTCACAAAGATCTGCATACCACCACGCAGACGGAGGACCAAGTGAAGAGTAGACTCCTGGATATTGTAATCAGCTAGGGTCCTTCCATCCTCTAGCTGCTTCCCTGCAAAGATAAGCCTCTATTGATCTGGTGGTATTCTCTCCTTGTCTTGGATCTTGGCCTTCACATTGTCGATAGTATCAGAGCTCTCCACTTCCAAAGTAATCGTCTTCCCAGTTAGTGTCTTGACAAAGATTTGCATGCCCCCACAAGGTGGAGGGTGGATTCCTTCTGAATGTTGTAATCGGCCAAGGTACGACCATCCTCAAGCTGTTTTCCAGCAAAAATGAGCCTCTGTTGGTCAGGTGGGATGCCCTCCTTATCCTGAATGTTAGCCTTAACATTGTCAATGGTGTCCGAGCTTTCTACTTCATGTGTGATGGTTTTCCCAGTAAGGGTCTTAACAAATATCTGCATCCCACCTTTCGGAGAACAAGGTGGAGAGTGGATTCCTTCTGAATGTTGTAGTCAGCTGTCAGCCAGTGTCCTACCATCTTCAAGTTGCTTTCCAGCAAAGATAAGTCTCTGCTGATCAAGAGGGATTCCTTCCTTGTCTTGGATCTTGGCCTTGACATTGTCGATTGTATCAAAACTCTCAACCTCCAGGGTAATGGTTTTCCCGGTTAGAGTCTTGACAAAGATTTGCATTCCACCCCTCAATCGAAGAACCAGATGGAGGGTGGACTCCTTCTGGATGTTGTAATCTGCCAAGGTTCGGCCATCCTCTAGTTGCTTACCAGCAAAGATAAGCCGCTGCTGGTCAGGGGGGGTTCCTTCCTTGTCTTGGATTTTGGCCTTGACATTATCAATAGTGTCGGAGTTTTCAACCTCAAGGGTGATGGTCTTGCCTGTAAGAGTCTTAACAAAGATCTGCATCTGTAACCACAGGAAACAAAGAGATTTCAGCAAAACTGGCAAATCAAAGAATAGAACTAAGCGCAAGCATATAGAAGAACATAAAATAGAGACTATTATTTAGATCCACTATGACAAACAAGGCTGTGCAATCAGGAAAACCAAAAGCCCTAAACCACAAAGGAGGAAATTTTCAGTGTAAAAACTAAAAAGGCAACGAAACGATCAATTTTCTCTTTGCAACATCTTCATAAATTTAGGCAGTAGTTGACATAGGTAAGTTGCAAAAGCTTCGTGGGCAACTTTTTGCCCTGAATATTAATAAAAGGTAATATTTTTATAAAATAACTAAAATAGGATAATTTTTTTTTTTGAAAAAATATCAAGGAAGGACAGTAATACTGTTCATCGTCTTCCTCTGCCTTCATGCGAATACAAATCTGAAAAGCTTAGCAGGTTCCTGGTCTGTATTGTTTATATTCTCTTTCTTCTTTAACTTATGCTCTCTCTTGACAAAAACACGACTCTGGAAGCTAGACAGCGAGCCATACAACAGAGTTACAGAGCAGAGCTGCCTACTCTACCACGTACCTCCGAGTCCAACATCTTTGCACCCTTGTTTGTCCCCTCCAGCTTGACCCTTCCCTGGTGACTCCCACACCATCTTCATGCCGGAGAATGCTGGTGACGTCTGCTGGAAAACCCTCCCACCTGTCGGAGATCTGATCCACATCAGTCGATGCACGTGGCGTTGGCTGGAGGGAGTAGGCGTCAGATGATGCATACCCGGATAGCCGGGGGCTGGCTGCCAACTGGTAGCCGAATGCCAAATCGACATTGCAGAAAGCTATATCAGTGTTGCCGTGGTTGAACTCGCGAGGTGGGGTTGGAGTGTTTACTAAATGCGGCCGTTGCCGTCAGTTGCAAGCAATATGGATCGAGTTTGAGCATGTTGCAAGCACACGCCAGTGTTCTGTATTCCTTTGTTCAGTCTCACTGGGGAGTCTTCTGCAATCCGGCACACTCTCAAGTCAACGTAATGCCAACCAACTCGATGGAAGATCATGGCCAGAGGGAGAGAAAAACGAGCACCAAGATCTTAGAAACAGTATCAGCTAGTATGAATTTGGTGTCCATCTGGTATGGGTTGTTCTGAGATATGAAGTGGAATGACAGCACCAGAATAGCAAATACAGCAACAAATCGATTGATGCCGGAGCATTACTCCGGCGTAATTATCTTCCACCACTTCACCGAACCATACGCCACCAACATAGCAAAGTAGAGTGGAACCATCGCGCACATCTCTTGATATTTTTCGCTTGAATAGAGGCCGAGGAAGACTATGAACAGTGTACTGCCCTTTCTTGATATTTTTGCAAAAAAAATTATCTTATTCTGATTATTCTATAAAAAATTATTACTTTTTATTGAAATTCAGGGCGAAAAGTTGCCCTTATCTGCACGAAACCCAAAGAGAAATAAGTCCTGCACAAAAAAACCCGACAAAATAAATAGAAACGATAAACCATAAAGAATCACATATACGCTAGAAGAAAATGGAAACCCTAGGTATTCAAACACAGCTCGAATGGAAATCAAAGGAAAACAATTAAACAAAAAACATAAAGAAAAGCCAATAAATCTAGAATAGAATTTTAGATCAAGAAAAAGAGAAAGGAAAAAAAGCACCAGAGCGAAGAAAGAATCGTTGAGAAGAAGAAGAAGAAGCATGCATACCTTGACTGTGTAGTGTAATCTGAATGAACAAAACAGGACGAAGGGCGCTGGAAGCGAATTTAGAACCGAAGAAAACTGAAAGAAGCGTATATATACCTCTTCGTATTCGATGATATTGCTCACACGTAGAGCTGCAAGGAACGGAAAACAGAGGAAATCGGGAAGAAGAAAGGGGAAAGGGAATAAGAAACATCGGGGGAGAGAGAGGGAAGATTTCGGAAATCCGCCGCCGTTGCAACATCTACCGCTGCTGTTGTTAGTGTTTTGGTCGGGGAAGATGAACAGTATTAGTATGGAATTAAAAAATATTGCCAGCGGATTTCAACGGAAGGCTAATGGATGGGAGCTCTTTGTCTCACGCTTATAGTACAGGGGCCTTTGTCACAAACCCATAGTACAGGGGTCTTTGTAATTTACCCTTACTATTATTATTATTATTATTATTATTATTATTATTATTATTATTATTATTATTATTATTATTAAGTTTTGTTTTTCATTGCTATCATAAAAAATAATTTTTATTTTAACAAGTGTTTTTATTTAATATGATGTAATATTAGAAATGTTCCAAAATGTTTTATTTCAATTATGATATCATGAGTTTATTTGAAAAGTTGTATCATTGGCCCACCATCTAGATAAGAAAATAAATTAATTTGCTTTGGGATTAGTTTTAAATTATATATTTTCATTATATTATATAAATAATTTTTGCTTATTACACTTAATTTTTGTTTGAAATAATTAATTATTTTTGTATCACATATTTTATTATTTTATTATTTAATTATGGCATTATTTATTAACCAATTTGACCATAAATGGTTAAATTGTTTACCCACTATCGAGAAGGAAGAAAATGGTTTTATTTTCAAACTACTTTTCAAAATATTTATATTTATACTATTAAAATTAATGTTGTAGATTTAATTAATAGAATTTAATGATGAGAAAAGTATATCTTAAGTATAGGATTTAATGAGAGAATAGGAAAATAGTTTTATTTCCAATTGGCCTTGAATTTTACATTCCATTTTCACCATTAATAAAAACATTTATTATTTATCATAGTTATTATTATTTAATATGTCGAATATATGATGTTAATAATGTTCTCTTTTTTAATTTCTATATTTTTTGCATTTTATCTATTTTTGAATTTTATTATTTAATTGTGGCAGCATGGATTGGTCCATTTGACCCAAAATGGTTTAATTTCTTACCACCGCCTTAGATGAAAACACTATTTTTTCTAGGTAGATTTTAAAAGTATAAGTTTTTATATTATTAGAATGATTAATTTATTATGTGTGGATTTAATTAATAGAATTTAATGATGAGAAGAAATAAAAATACCTTAAATATATGATTCAATGAAGATGAATGCAAGTTAATACCTTAAATGTTGAGATTTAATGAGAGCAAATTGAATGAAGTGATTATCTTAAAATTACCTATTTTCAACTCATTTAATATTAATAACCGATTATCCTATTTGCCCTCATTTTTTATCAATAAATTTAAATATAGATGGATAAATTTTGTCCTTAGAAAATTCCAAAAATATTCTTAAGACTATTCGTGCTTTTTAAAGTAGTATAGATGTTATCTGTAAATTGGAAATTGAAAATGTGAAGGCAGGATTGAGAATGTGAATGCTCAGCCCTGCAATAAAAAACATTGTTGTCTCCCAAGGATGGGAAAGGAAGCGTTCTAGCTTACAAAATAATTAAGAGGGTGTTTGGTACCATGGTATTTATCTTGTATAATGTGTTTGAAATTTTGAATCCATTAGGCCCCACTAATAAGGATATTGGTTGGAATCATAGTTGAGAGCATGGTGGTTTCATATCACAAGATTCAAAATTTCGTCATGTATCAGTTTGTATTAGCCGAGTATTGGTGATCCATTGACATGTTAAATATAAATGTTTTTTGTATTTTGAAAAATAAAATGTGAATAAAAGGATGCTAGTCTAAATTTTGGTCCAACAATACAGAACTGTTCAAAGCAATGTTTTCAAAACCGGATTGGACCGGAAAAAATAAGAACCGGTCACCAATTCCGTTTCACACCAAAATTGTTTATTGGTAAAAAATTGTTGATTTAGTCAATGAACCACTAACCCAGGCGATCAAACTATTGAACCATCAACCCGGACAACGGTTTTTTTATTTTATAATTTTTTTAATTTTTTTGTCAGAATGAGTCATTTGTTTAGACCAGACAGTCAGATTATTTGACCCAAAAACCGAATAAAAAATGGTTCCTTATTCGGTCCGATTTTAAAAACCTTGATTCAAAAGTCTAAAGTTGATCAAATTATTAAGTCTATGGGATTGAAACCTTCGAGTACATTTTATTCAAAGGTGAAGATAATCGTTTCTTTTTGTTTATTGTTAATGTTAATGGTGACAATAGGTGATCTGGCATCTTTGATTGCAAGTACAATTTTGGAGCTCACTTCAATAACCTAGTGTTAATACGGATAAAAAAACAGTCCATTAGGTTTAAGAAGGCAAGAATTGTAATTTATTTCTTTCATTGGTTTTCTTTAGAAAAAATCTCTTATAAAAAGAGAGCACCGATGAGGCAATAGGGCAAAGGGCCTTGAGTTACGATGTTCTCTTTAATGAGATAAACAAACCCTAAGAATGCAGAAATCAATTTCAAAATTCAGGAAGGCTTTGAATTCTGAATGAGTAAAATTAATGTCGATGACTTTGTAAAACACGAATTGGCTGGAGAAAACTACTCGATGGAGTTAACTGTCATTAGTAAAAGGGGTGGTGATACTTACTGTGTGGTTAGCGGTTACCTTGTTCTAAGTGGAGAAGACTTCTCAACGGCAACGGAATTAACTATCATCAATTTCACACACCTGGAGGCTGGAACAGAGCAAGAGTTTTACATGGCTGAACAATGAGATGAGAAGGAGACTGCATCACTGAAGTAAAGGGGAAGAAGGGAAATGAGAGAAAACGAAAAAGAGGAATTTGGTTTGACTAATATAGTAATGTGTGAGGTTTTAAGGCTCCGTTCATTTTTCAGTAAGTTACTTATCCGGGTAAGTGTATGTTCTTTTATTTCCTAAGTAAATAAAGTAATAACCATTTTAGGATTTTTATTAAAGGGCCATTTTTGTCCCATTCAAGTGTTGGCAACTTTTTTCCTATGTGGAAAAGTTATTTACTCACTTAGGAGATGGGTATCATTTACCTGATAAATATACTTTTTCTAGTCCGGTGGTTTCCACATAAATCTGAAAAATGAATATAGGATTTTTGGTCAATGAAAACCAAAATCCTATTGACCAACTTCCTCCTCTCGAAATCCAAAAAAAAGAACACCCCTTAAATAACAAACATGGGCTGTTTGGTAAGTCAATATGAACTTGTTATACGGTTCATTGGTTTTGCTATTTGTTTCAACTTTCAACACATATTTGATTCTATCAATTAGTAGAACTTTATTATTATTATTATTATTATTATTATTATATTTTTTTTTTGTAAAAAGCCCCTCCCCATTTAATTTGAACATTATTAAAAGCCAAGAAAGAAGGCTTTGTTGGTTGTTGCGGTTAAAGTCAAAACATCAGGAGGATTATATGATTGTCAGAAATTGAGGGGAGGTCTTTCTATTTTACTCGATCTATTAATTTGAAAAGAAGGATGATAGAAGCAAAAATAAATAAATAATTAGGATGTTTGAAGAAATTTCTAAACTTTGAGGCAGCAGATAGGAGGAAACTTCGAAATCAGGTAGCCCCTAGTAAATTTCCCTTTGGATTTGGGCCGGTGAACAAAATCGTCAATACTCGATAGAAATTGGGGTTTTAGTTTGAACCGGCCACTAGCCAGCGACCTTCCCAATTCTATTATCTATCGTGCGCGCGGTTTGTAAAATTGCCGTATCTCCGGCGAACCTGATGGCGAGCAACGGTAGCTCTTCTCCCAAAAATCCTAAAAAGGCGAAACTGATGGATCCAAATTCCATTAAACATCTTCTCGATGAATCCGTTACTGAGGTAAATTCTTCTATTTCGATTAGATCATCTAAACCCCTTAATCTCTCTATTCTTCTTTCTTTCTTTCTTTCTATGAATAGATTAGTCTGTCCGCCCCCCCTGAATGTCTTGGATTCATGAAGTTTTGAGTGTCTAGAGGTTTTCTTCTTGTAGATAGTCACCACTCGCGGATATGTTGAAGACGTGAGGATGAGCAATATCAAATTGTTCATGGGAATCACCATCATCATCATCGCTCTTGTTGCTCAGTTCTACCCGAAGAAATTCCCCCAGAACAAAGATGTTCTCATCGGGTGCATTATATTATATCCTTTTCTTCTTCTAACCCACTTTCCTATGATTTTGTTTTTCTGTATCGTTGCATCGAAAACAATTTAGTCTTTCTGTGGAAGTCCAACTTGAGAGAGTTATGTTTGTGCCTTGACTCTGGCACGTATATTGTCTTCAATGGGTTGTTGCAGCTAATCATCTTCACGAAGGAAAAGAATGCGGTCCTGTTTACTTATCCTCTCCCTGTAAGTTTTCCTAATTCCAGAAGAATTCACATCAAAGATAGAATCATGTGCTAGCAGCTTTCTTCCTAGCGTCTTTTTTGGGGATCAGTAAGCATTCTTCCTAGTGTTACAAGTTAGGATTTGGTTGGTCATGTCGCATTTTAAATGTTGATAATTTCTGTTATCCTATGCTTTGGAGGTTATTTAACTGAGTGTATCCCTTAGAGTGGTTTTAATATGTGGCATGGAAGATTATATCTCTGGATGTGTAATGCATTTGAACTTCTTCCGTATGTTCAAATCTCTGTAAGTGCTTGAACGAATGGTAGCAAAAATGAATTATGAAGATGTTCTGATCAGTGTCAAACTAATTTTTTGGATATTACCGAAAAAACTATTTTTTTGGAAGCCCTGAAGATGAATTCGTAATAGTAGAAATTTTTGTTTCAACTTTTTTTATTGCGTCAAGTATCTCTCTTGGTCGTTTTTTATGTCCACGAAAGAGATGCTCCCATGCTAACTGTTAATTTGAAGTTACAGGTTGACCTAGGAAGCAAAGTTAATTACTGTCAGTGTTTCTTATTAGCATATTGTTGATACCAGTGCTGTAAAGATCTTACTGTTAACAATACATTCCATGACTGAAATCATGAATATTAAGTTTTCTGATGAGAATCTTATGATCAAATCCTTTTCTAAAAAGGCATACCTTCCATTCATAAATCTGATGATTTATCTAACAAATGAGATTCTTATAAATTGGTTGGAACTTGGTTCTGTGCATTGTCATTTTCTTCAAGAGGCTTTTGTTTTATATCTCTTTACTAGAATAGGATTTGCTTGGGTTGCGTTGTTAAAAACCTAGTTAAGAACTTGTTTTTAGTTTATTTTTCATCATTAGGCCACTCTCTATGGGTAAATTGACTTTGTAGTAAGATTTAACTATATAATTTTATGCTTGTGCTATGCAAGTAGTAAACTTTGTTGTTTTTTACGCGTTACATATGGTGGATGTTGGTAAAAATGTGGTAAACTCATTTTTACATATATTAGGATTTTAATGAATATGTTTTTAATCTTTTACAAATTTCTAAAAATAGCAATGATATTATGATATATGATTTGTTTCATTGTTCCGTTTGGTTTGATTCAACATTATGCACAATTTTCAAAACATTGGTTGATACGTCCTATATACGTGTGCGTGTGTAAGTGGGCCCCCATTATTCAGATACAAATCAAATCTTATCTATTGGATCAAATTTAGATATTTAATACCTTTAACAATATGAACTAGAAATAATTAAAATACTATATATAATTAATAAATTGAACAAAAAATGACTTTATATTATCATAAGTAAAATAAATTGGTTATAACTTGTAGGAGACACTGATGAAAAAAAAAGGAACTTTTTTGAGACTTAACCCTAATACCCTATGACTCATTAGTAAACTTACATACAAAATTCAAACTACTTTTACTAATAGATACAATATAAATTTTATGTAGTATATATATTATCAGAAGGATAGGGGTGGATCTGTATTTTATCCAATTAAAAACAGATCAAATTCAGACCACCCTTAACCAGATCATATTCGCATTATGAATTTGGATAAATGGATGCTGTTTTCAGTCCTACATCATCGGATAGCCCTTTTATTTAGCCTGTGTTTGGTTTGAAGGAAAAAGTAGGGAAACCTGTATAAACCTTGTATGGGCTTCCCTACCATTTTCTTCAAACCAAACACAGCCTTAAGGAAAGAAAGTTTACTCCATTATATTAATGAGAAGATGGATGTTACAATTGATGATCATCCGACCGGGGCAGGCTCTTTTTATTGTGACAGCTCTGTACCTTCTTAATTTTTTTTCTTTGTGGTGGGGATGAGGGTGTTACTTTTTGTAAATCCTTGCACACTTTCGTTCCTCTTTTTCTATATTGATACAAATATTACCATGACAAAAAATAAAAAAAAAATGAGAAGAAAGACTACTTTTAAGTAAAACTGTTGTGAAGGGAGATATGGAAATTATCTTTTCTTTATATTGGATTCCGATCATCAACCTGCAATATCCTGAACTACTTTTTTGCTCCTTTCAAGATTTTTGCTAGGAATTTGGTTGCGATGTTCTTCCTAAAATGCATCAAGCTCTGGGGTTTTCAAGTGGTTCGTTCTTATGTACCACCAATGAGCATGCACCCCATGATCTTCCACTTGAAAAGGCGGAAATTGCCTATCTTATCAGAATCTGGAATTGGGATCTATAGATTCTTTTGCTCCATTTCCACATTAAGTGTAGCTCTAGTTAAGTAGTAACTACTATAGTTTACCCACTTTAGTTGAATTTATGTCCAATATGAATCCAAGCCATTCATTGCCCAACTCTGGATTGATTGGGGGATATGATTAATTTCTGTATTTTCCCTTATAGTGTAACTCAGGATGTATCCGCATTCTGATTCCATAACCTCCACAGATACAAACACATTTATACATAGTAGGAATTTTCTGAATTAAAAAATATGAAAGAAAGTAGTTTATTGAAGAGAGAAGGAAGAGAGAAGGAGAAGAAGAGAAGTTGAAAAGAAAAGAGAGCAATAATCTGGCTGCCCCCTTCACTTATTATTTATACTAAAATAATAGAATAGTACAAAGACAACTATGCCCTTATAGGGTGGCAAAACATAAAACAACATATATAACACTCAAAAATATAATAAAATTTGGACTCACATAACTACTGTGGTCTCCACCTCCTATCTAACAATTAACATAAAACATCTACTCAAAAAAACATTATAAAACTAATTAATCTTCAACACTCCCCTTCAAGTTGGGAGTAAATGTCACACATTCCCAACTTGCATAAATCATGTTCAAGCTTGTTCTTTGCCAGCCCTTTAGTGAGAACATCAGCCAGCTACAACTCTGAAGAGACATAAGGCAAACAAACTTCTCCGGTTGTTACCCTTTCTCTTATAAAGTGTCTATCAACTTCAATGTGTTTTGTCCTATCATGCTGAATTGGATTGTGGGCAATATTGATTGCAGCCTGATTGTCACAGTATAACATCATAGGCTCCTCTGCTTTCACTCCAATCTCACTCAAAAGAGATTTAACCCAAAGAAGTTCTGAGACACCATGAGCCATGGATCTATACTCAGCCTCTGCACTTGACCTTGCCACAACCGCTTGCTTCTTACTCTTCCAGGAGATCAAGTTTCCACCTACAAAGGTACACACTCCTAATGTAGACCTCYTGTCATCTAAGYATCCTGCCCAGTCTGCATCTGTATAGGATTCTAGCTTTAGATTCTCATGATTTTAGATTCTCATGTAAGTATTCTCTTAATAGCTTCTCAGTGCTTAACCCGAGGTGCAAGCATGCACTGATTCACAAAACTGACAGCATAAAAAATATCTGGTCGTGTCATACACAAATACAGCAGTCGGCTCACCATTCTTTGATATCTCCTCACATCCTTTACCAATTCACCATCCACACCATTAATTATGTGATTTGGATCAATAGGAGTGTTTGCTGGTTTGATCCTCAGTTTCTCAGTCTCTCGTAGTAGGTCAAGTACATACTTTCTCTGTGAAATGAAGATCCCATGCTTGGATCTTGCAACTTCAATCTTTAAGAAGTATTTGAGCTCACTAAGATCTTTGATCTCAAATTCTTGCTGCAATGATTTTTTGAGATCATCAATCTCCTCCAGATCATTTCCTGTCACCACTATATCATTCACATACACAATCATAATTGACACTAGGGCATCTCTCCTCTTCACAAAGAGGGTGTGATCAGACTGTGTCTGTGTGTATCCAAAATGGATGAGTGCCCCTCTGGACCTGTCAAACCAAGCTCTAGGTGACTATTTTAGTCCATACAGATTTTCTGAGTCTGCACACCTTTCCTTTACCAACATTTTCATAAAAGCCTGCTGGAATGTCCATATATACCTCCTCCTGTAATTCACCATTGAGGAAAGCATTTTTGACATCAAGCTGGAATAAGGGCCATGAATAGGTGGCTGCTAGAGATAAAAGGATACGAACTGAACTCATCTTAGCTACTGGTGCAAAGGTTTCCAGATAATCAACACCATAGGTTTGAGTATATCCTTTTGCTACCAACCTTGCCTTGTACCTCTCTATCTTGCCATCGGCCTTATACTTCTCTGTGAATACCCATCGACATCCGACTGTCTTCTTGTCTAGGGGGAGATCAACTATTTCCCAAGTTTGGTTTTTGACCAAAGCATCCATCTCATCTTGCATGACTGTTTTTCACTCAGGTTTGGAAAGAGCCTCAGTAACATTCCTAGGTATAGACACAGAATCCAGGGAAGAAAAGCACGGTAGGAGGGTGATAAGACATTGTAGGAAAGATGGTGTGAAATGCAGTGGGCTGTACACTTTCTCTTCCCCTTACGAAGTGCAATGGGAAGATCAAGGTTAGTGGGATCAAGTGCAACAATGGTGTTAGACAGAAACATTATCATCAGAAAACATAACAGGCTCAGGCTCAAGAGGAATACCTGGAACTGTATCTGCCGAATCTGGAGTTTCAGAAGGACTGACAGAGAGTGATGTGGGTTGAGGATGTGTGGAGTCAACCATCACCTGCCAGTGCTGATATTGTTGTGAGGTTGCCCTTAGTGGCTCAGGTAATGAAACTGGAGGTGTAGGTGCTGGCTGAACTGATGTAGATGCTGGCTGAACTGATAGAGGCACCACAGAAACAGGAAGAGGCACCACAGAGCCACTCGAGAAGAAGAATGTGGATTCAAAAAACGTAACATCCATAGTTTCAAATCTGCTCCTCGACACTAGGTCATAACAACATTGCCAAGAACTCAAAAACCCTATTCCTCTCTACCAGTCCGTGATAAGTTGCTGCATCATTTACACTTTCTCATACCACAGTTTCTAAGTGATCTATTTCCTGTCATAGGGTTTTTATCATAGAGAAATACATAGCAAGAGGTTTTTCTCCCTGTTTCATACTTGTCACCTGATTTCTTAACTGATAGGCTCTAGCTTCATTTTGCTTCTGAGAGTAGGTTTCAGTCACTCCATCCCAAATCTCCTTAGCAGTATTAGCTCATAGGAATTTTTTTGCAATATGAGGTAACATAGAATTACACAGCCAGGACATTACCATGTAATTCTCTTGCACTCATCGGGAAGAGTCTGTATCAGGTTTCTTCTCCTCCCCAGTGAAATACCCAAATTTTCCATGGGCACCAATAGTCATCTTAGCTGATTGTGCCCACTCCAAATAATTTGTACCATCAAGTTTTACTATAATAATGATCATTGACCCAAAAATATCACCACACTACCTCCAACACCCAGTCCCACAGTACCGGTAGATTTCATCTCGGTATTCCAACTCTCTATTTTACTTCAAACAGTTCAACAGTAAGAAAAAAAATAGATTGGAGACCTTCAAAAAATAATTTAATATCACACACACAGAAACCAACCCTTCCGGAAGAAGAAAACCCTAGCTAGAGAGAAATTTCTCTCCTCCCCACACCTCCCAACAGAGAGAAAAGTTAATCGATCACTCCGAGAGGCTAGAAAATTCCAGAAACCAAACCGCCCTCTTCAGAAAATCAAAAGAAAACTAACAATACTTGGGCGCCCAAGATCAGATAAAAAACAAAGAATCCAACTTTTCTGGGACTCTTCCCCATACTCCAGTTCTTTCTGATTTTGATGTCGAATAGTAGATCACCTTCCTGATGTCTAGATCCCACTAAAAACTCCAAGAACTGGGCAATCTATAGCAGATCAATCAGTCATTTACTACTTCATGTAGTCGGCTGATTTAGGGCTGCATGAGTATGCTTCAAGAAACCCTAGCCGATGCTCTGATACCAAGTAGAAATCTGTTGAATTAAAAAATATGAAAGAAAATAGTTTTTTGAAGAGAGAAGGAAGAGAGAAGGAGAAGAAGAGAAGTTGAAAAGAAAAGAGTAATAATCTGGCTGCCCCCTTCACTTATTATTTATACTAAAATAATAGAACAGTACAAAGACAACTATGTCCTTATAGGGTGGCAAAACATAAAACAGCATATATAACACTCAAAAGTATAATAAAATTTGAACTCACATAACTACTGTGGTTCCCACCTCCTATCTAACAACTAACATAAAACATCTACTCAGAAAAACATCATAAAACTAATTAGTCTTCAACATACATTCTTTCACATGAATTACTTGATGAAGTTTACAAAATGGTGTTGCTTATAGTTTAATTTTTAACCCTTCAGTGGCTGATGTGTGATAATGGATGAAGTGGCTGAACTGAATTACCTACTGCTTTGTCTTTTAAGTGTATAAAATAATTAAATAATAAAATATTTGGTGAGGAAATCAACCAACATCAGCTTCGGCCATAAGGAGTTAGTGCCTCCTGAAATAACCTATTCACTAAAAGACAAAGCTCAAATTCTGCCACTTCAGTTGCTATCAAACTACCCTATGTTCCTTAACCCTTATGTAATTACTTCCATTTATTTATTTGGTACAGGGGTCCTTCAACAGTACGGGTCTGGTAGTTTCTTCTAAATTGCCTAGATTTTCTGACATGTACACACTGACAGTGGCAAGTGCAGATCCGACATCAATCTCGGCTAAGAAACCAGTAGAGTTTACCAAGAGCGTTACTCAATGGTCTCTCTCTCTCTCTCTCTCTGTGTGTATTGCAATTATTTCAATTCTGATCAGTACAATTTTAAATTTTTTTCTACCTGCGTTTTTAGCTTTTTTGTTTTGACAAGTACCTGCGTTTTTAGCTTTGATGTCAGTTTCATGAACAAAATGCACAATGATGCAGGTTTACCAAGGATGGCGTTCTCGTGGAAGGTCTGTTCTGGAAAGATGTTGATGAACTAATCAACCAGTATGCCGGAGAGTCCAGGAAGAGCAAATGAATTGACGCTATTAACCTTTGTGCAATAGTACAGAGGCAGGGTTCAGCAGCACCATTCCTAGGGTGCTACTCCCAGTCTTAGGAATTAGAAATCCTGGATATCACAGAGGTTTTGAGTGAAATCAACCAAATTTTACTTGATAAACAGTTCACTAACATGCACTCGCCATTAAGCGTAGCATAACCATTTAATCCATCCTCTTTATGAGCTTATTGGGTATCGATTCATTGCATTATATCTGAGGTACGGTTAGAGATTAGTGATTACTGATTAGTGCTCCATTATTCTGATAAATGACTAGATGAAATGAAACACATTCCAAAAAATATTCCTTACCACAGTTGTGGATTAGATTCAATCTCAGAGATGTCACACTCACATTCCCCTCTATATATATAAAACCTCTAACCCAATTAACAAACAAGGACAATCAACCTCCCAAAAGCAATTTAGTTAACAATTGCTTACCACTTTCCCCTCTCCGGGAGAAACTGTTACCGTATTTCTAATAATATCTTCTATTCTGAAGAAAGAAATAGAAGTTGCCCTTGGCCCTTGCCCCTTGCCCCTGCTGTTGACAAAAGACAATGCAAGTTCAACTTCATTGCAATTCCAGTAATATGCTTGGGAAGCGCTCGGTCCGTAATTGACCCGAATATTGAACTGGCTTATGATGCTGCATTAAACTGAATAGTATCTGAGACTGAGTCGCCTCTCGCATCAACAGTCCCCTGTTCTGTACTGTAATTTTAGACGTGCATCGTAGCTCGTAGGGCAATTCAGTTATTTAATTAAGCACTAAAATTTCCAACACAGGTGGCATTAGACCGCAATTAGATGAGTTTCTTTTTGTACGTTGGGCAGAAGCTCCATTTTCATACAAGACATTTTTTCTCATTTAATTTTATACTTCTATGCCAATAGCATCTTAATGGACTGGTAAACACCCGAGCGCTCACCAAACTTAGTAGATTCTTTAGTCCTGCTACTCTTTGGCCGCTCCCATGTTTGAATTCTCTTCATAAGAGTTCACAATAAGCTTACGTCTTGCCGACGTGCAAATTAGGACCCAATTTCAAAAAGAGCTACTTTTATACCGTATACTTAATTGATCATTATAACTCAATGCAAATTAATTATGATTTATGACTATGCAAAGGCTTAAGTTGCTATCTCTGACCTAGGATTCAAGGGCATCAATTCAAAGTGATTTTCAGTTCGTTGAACTTTTCAAATATTAGATAAGCATTTGGGCTACACAAGACCGAGTTAACACGTCCCCAGAATCACAAGCACAAATAAAGGCTAACGACCTAAGGAGGAACAGCCATTCTACTTGTATAGGAATAGAATTAGAATGGATACAGAAAGTCGAGCTAATATTACATTTGCAGATAAACAGTCCCCTTTTTTTTATAAGTGCCACTAACTAAATGATTTTAGGGCCACTTACAAAAACACTCCTTATACTTTGCAACTGATTTATTTAATCGGCCTCGACCTTGTGATAATTTTAACCCTAACATCTGTTTACACAAATTCAATCAAAAGAAAATAAAAATGAAAATATCTTGCCCCTGGTAAAATTTAGCTAAACTCTCTATAAGAGCATAGTCCCAAAGCATTAGGGCATAGAGACAAAAAGGCTTAACCCCTACATTAGGGTCCCACCTCTCCCTTTCCATCTTCCTCAACTCACTCAAACCCTCATATTTACCACGGCTTAATCTCGCTCCAGAGGGTACATAGTCAGCCCCTTCAAGGTAGTTTTCAAGGTAGAACTAAAAAACAACCCAGGCTTAGAGGGTCCAAGCCCGTGGGACGGCAGGGGAAATGACCTAGTATGGCCCAATACAGTGTGTGCACATATGACACATGCTTATATGTATATAAATTTTTATTTTTAATTTTATTATACTACTCTATTCCAATTTCATTATATTATTTCATATATGAACAACTGTATAACTTTAAAAATAAAATTTTGAGATTTTTCAATTTATTGTCTATCTTGTTCATTTTTTTCAAATTTTCGTTATTCTTTTTTAATTTTTCTTAAAAACAGTAAAATCGTGCCAGCCAATGGCCCAACCAGGCACGGCCTGGTTCAATGAAGGCGACTCGAAAAAATTGGGTTATGCCCACAGTAAAGGTCTACTTCAAAGGCTTGGCCACTTCTTAACTCGAGTACCAAAGCCCTCAAACTTTGCACTCTCTTTACCATATCAGCAAAAAGATGAAGACGTCACAATGGGGTTACAATTCTAATTAATGCAAACCAATTGCAACCCATAAAATATGAAACCCCAATCATACACACTCAATATCTTCTCCAAGTTTTGTTATGGGGATTGGTTTTCTTTCTAGAAGCTTGACATGATGAGGTGCTAGGGCCTAGGGGTACGAACAACCATGCATGCCCTTAAACATTTTCCGCTCAATTTGGATAGTTAACTGACCATTTGCAAACCGGCAATACAAACACATCTTAACAGGTCGATTCAAGTAATTTTCTTTTTTTTTTTTTTTCCAAAGCCTGTTAAGGCAAGGAGGGTTTTAATAAAACGCAAATATAGGATATAGGTATTTTAATAAATGACCCTTTTATTTATTCAATAGTGGATTTCTACTGAAAATGTGCCAATAATAGGGATGCTGAATCAAATTCGGATGGCAATGGGAAGTTGAATAGTATAAATAAATTAAACTAAAAATGATCAAAATATTATATTATCAATAAAATGGAAAAAAAAGACTTCAATAGTGTATTTCATGAACAAAATGAATTGAAAATTACTTGTTCAAGGTTGCATTTGGCAATTCTTATTTTAAGGACTTGTATCTTTGTTTTTTTTTGTTAAAAACTCAGTGTTCATAGGAGCATTTTAACTGAAAAAAGGAGATAAGCCCTTAAAATAAGGAATGCCAAATGCAGCTAAAATTTAAACCTACGACAATTTGCCTCTTTGGAGACATCAGATAAAATAAAGTGTAAAAAAAAAAAAAAACTGCGACAAATTAACAAAACACAAAATTCATTGATAAATCAATATTAGATTGGATATAAGTAAATCAATATGGTCCAATTACAAATGAATCAGATAAGGATCAGTGCTCGAGGATTTTCAGACAACCGGGCACTGTCAACATTTAACAGCCCTAGCTAATAATAATCTTTCAGAGAATCACTCTCACTCTCAGTATGAGGCTGACGAAAGACATTTCTGGGCCATCAACTTTGCTTAAGCGGTGTTATCCGGTGTGAATTGTTTTGAGTTTCAAAAACAAATCAAAAGCATCAAGTTTGAAAACAAAATAAATTAAAAAAGCACACACACGCACGAAAACATGTTCCCTATTGGGCTATTATGTGTTTTTAATTTCCACATTGAATTCAAAAGCGTGTAATTTCTAATTTAAAAAACATGCATGTGTGAAGATTGATATGATGTTTCATAGATCATATAATATCTGTACTCCAAATTTTTCTTTTTTAAGAAACCATTATTTTGATAGATTCAAAAACAGGGATTGTTTACAAAACCGACTTGTTTTTAATTCTCAAAACAAATAAATAGTTCAAGGATGTTTCCATTTTTTTTTATTGAGACGCGACGATTCAAAAAAAAAAAAAAAACACGTTCATATCATGGTACTTGGCTTCATTAGACAATTAATGAATCACCAAATGTCAGTTCAACCAAACCAAACTATGAACCTGTCAATTATGAGCATGACAAGGTGTGTGCTAACCAACGGAAATCATGCCAACTTAGGCATCATTGGTCTGAGGGCAATTTGTATCCTAGCCTATATGAATTAACCTCGTTCTTGTTTCTGGGTCTCATGTTGGCGATTCTTAATATATTTTAAAACATGAATGGAGGCAACACTAACACTTCAACTTTCCAAGGTCCTAACCTTACCAGAATAAAACTACCAATGTTACCTTACTGCGTTGTCCCTAAGCATGCATCATGTTACCTTTATCTATCAAGAGTAACAAAATGTTATGAACATACTACCAAGCAGAGTTCATACAGTAGAAATACGGCATTAAGAATCATATATTACTTTCCTTTTATCATATGGAAGATCTGGGATGTGGGAATTTCCCATCAGCATCTGACAATGACGAAACCTTGTGAATTTCAAGGATGGAATTGCACACAGAGAAATCAGCTATTTTAATCAATATCTACAACTCATAATCACAGTAATGCCAGTCTGATTCGTTGTTTGTTGATGTTTTGACCATGATGATGGTTTAAACTATCAGCCGACACAAAGAGACATCAACCATGTTAGTTGGATCTTTTGGAATTATGGAACTACCAATAACCCAATACTTCTTAAAAATCTGTATGACTGCAGCTCTACCAAAAAAGTGCGTTTGATATCAAAACAGTCACTTTTCGTGAGATTTGGAGGAACCATGATATTCAGATTTCAGAAGCATGATACAAGAAAAAAAGTTGAAAAAACAGACCCATTGAAAAATATAAAATATTTTGAACAATGATAAGTTGGTTTGAAAGACAGTAAAGTTGCCTCAGATTAACAAATATCCATATGTACATAAATTATGGTTATTGCCTATTAAAAAAATCATGGTTAAATAGCAATGCAGAATTCCAAGATAACGTGTATGTGGAAAATAGAATAAGTGTGTGAAGAAACGGAAATCGATCCAGGAATATAGATAGTAAGTTTTGAGGTGAAAGAATGCAAAACTAAAGATGACACTAATTCACATGCAGGACCAGCAGCATGCATCCTCTAAATTTCCCAAAAGTTGCAACTAACGTGGCTGATTGGTTAAGTATCCAGCGATGTTTAAAAATTAAGATCAAAGCATGAAAGAATTGAAAACTGAAGCAATTTTAGATACTCCGCAGATCAAGGATAAATAAGCCTGACCATGAAGATGAAGCTGCCCCACATGGATCAGCTAGCCAGAACCATGGATGGAAAGCCTGATCCCTGTGAAAACACAGAAAAAAATGGAGAAACGGAAATGCACACTCCCTACGCAGGCATTATCCTGTTCAGGTTCGAAGGGACTTTCTCAGCCAGCCCTGCCCATTTCCCAGCAAAAAAAGGCCAGGACTGAAGCAGGCACAGGCACCCCCGGTGCGTTTTTTAAGTTAATTGGAGAGTCCAGAAAATAAAGAGAAAACAAAAGTAGATAATACATATAACCCATTTTATTAATAAAGTACTCTAAAACAAGTAGAACAAGAAAGATATGCCTGAAGCTATTAAAAAAAAAAAAAAACAAATCTACTTTCTCACCTAAAGCCTGGAATGAAGACCATAAACCACTATTGAACGCCAATCATCCACCAGACAGGGCTCCAAGAAGCTCAAACGAAACTTTTGAAAATATCCCTGTAGGAATGGTGTGGTAATTAAAGTCTAAAAGAAGTCAATATTGGATGATGCTTGAGAAACTTGTATCACAGAGAATTCTGAATAGTTGTATGATGTGACAGAATTTAGACACTGATAAAAAACTAGAACAAGAAAACAATGGGTTGAGTTTAGAGAGATCCTTCAAGGGAAATGAGTCGTTTTTATTGGTTTGGTGGAGAATGTACATTCATTGTCCGTGAAGTACTGGCATATCAATGAACCTCTACATGAAATGTACTTCATGCCATGCAGTCAGTTGATAAGTAGCTATAAAAACACCCCTTTCTACTTTCCATTTGCCACATCAGATTTTACCTCGTCTAATAAGACAAATTTTGCATGGACACTTCAAAATGGATACCATGCCCGTATCAAGCACTTCAACTTGCATAGTAAATAGTCAGAGAAAGGCAATAGGTGTAGCTCCAGCATAAATATCTCTCTAATCTCTCTAATTGAACTCCACTTATTGAAAGGTCTAGAAAGCTAGTGGCAGACCAAAAAGGACACGGGTTGTTAAAGTAGTAAGAATTGAGAAATGACTTCAGGGGCCATGATTTAACAACAGATATGGCACTGAATAAAACAGAATAGTGGAACAGGACACATCTGGCCTACCCCATATAGATGGGACAAGCCTAGTCGAGTTGAGTATTGAACTCCACTTATTTTGTTGTTGTAGTCTTGTATTTCCTTACCAACGAGGGAAGGCATGTTGATATGCACTCAGTAGACTTTCTTCTTTTCAAACAATAAAAGTCTTAAACTTGAGCAAGGAGTTGAATATTTTTCCACCATCCTAGTTTCCATTATTGTAAACTCGGTTTTGTTAACTACAGTGCAAATACCATGAGTTTTTCTGTATCAGTAACTGAACTCTCATGATAAGGGGTTAATAATGTCTCATCCAGGGAAGAATGCTGTATATCGTTAATGTAACGTTTTAGTTGCATGTCAAGCTATGGCTTAGTCAAGCAATGTTGAGTATGTCAACCTGTGGCTACTTGTACTAGTCCCCTTCTTTCAAGGGAACAATGTTGTATTCAGGGTTCAAAGTATTGATACGATACGCCCAATATGGGCCGTATCGTATCGTATCTTTTGAAAAAGATACAGTCCAAAACGCCTGTTTCCAGGTGTTTCGGACCCCCAATTTTTTTTAATAATAAAAAGCATGCTAAAAGCTTCCCAAAAAACCAAAATGTGAACAAAAACTAAAAAAAAAAATAAAGTTTCGCTGTTTCTAAGTACCGATACGATACGAGCTATGTTGAGTACGTCAACATGTGGCTATTTGTACTAGTCTCCTTTCAAGGGCTTTAGAAGATTGGATTTTTCTTCATAGACTTGAATAAAAATGACTAATAACTGTTGCTGATAAAGAATGAGTGTAATAATCATCTCAAGTGGAGTTCAGATCAGCAACTAAAATTAGCTGCTAATTTTGGCTACTAACTTACCATTGTGTGAGTTTCACTGACGGTCTGAACGAAAATGCATACATAGAAACACACACAGATCGTGAAGGTGGGGGGAAACCAGTGGGGTTTTGGAAGGCATGATTTGGAGTTCTCAGACAAGTGCAGTAACACATTTTGAGGATAGGTGGCACACTGTGGTAATGTTAGTAGCCAATGTTAATAGCAGATCCGGACTTCTCAAAGTGTCTTTGTTGTGGTTATGACCTTATAATAAGCAAGTTATTGGAGAAAGAAAACAAAACAGATATGTCAGGCAAAAGTAAACGAGCTTCAAAAATAAGAATCCCAGTAACACTGACCTTCATCATTCCACTGAACCTGTAACATAGTTTGCAGGCAAATAGATTTCTCCACCAACTTCACCATGCTGCTCCCCACTAACAGTTTTCTTAGCTGCTAAAAATTCTGCACTCATTGCTTCCATTCCATGTTGCATAGCCTCTTCAGCACTACCGTATCCATGTTCTTCAGCATACTTTCTGACATCCTCAGTTATCTTCATAGAACAGAACTTGGGTCCACACATAGAACAGAAATGTGCCACTTTGGCACCATCTGATGGCAGGGTCTCATCATGGAAGGCCATCGCAGTCATGGGATCCAGAGAGAGAGCAAACTGGTCCATCCATCTAAACTCAAATCTTGCCTTGCTCAGTGCATCATCCCAGGCTTGAGCATGTGGATGACCTTTAGCTAAATCAGCCGCATGAGCAGCTATCTTATATGCTATAACCCCAGCTTTCACATCATCCCGGTTTGGTAATCCAAGGTGCTCCTTTGGCGTTACATAACAGAGGAGTGCAGTTCCTAGAGCCCCAATATTAGCAGCACCAATGGCTGATGTGATATGATCATACCCAGGTGCAATATCAGTTGTTAATGGACCAAGTGTGTAGAAAGGTGCCTCATTGCACCACTCCAGCTGCTTTTCCATGTTTTCAGGAATTTTGTGCATTGGAATATGTCCTGGTCCTTCATTCATAACCTAAAATAGCCAAATAGTATTAACAATAGTAAGGTTTACTATGTTAAAATTAGATTTGAAATTTTTTTGTCCATTAACAATTCAGAGAAAAATATACATTGTATTATTGTTAAGAGAGATAGAAAAAGTCTACATAATTCACAAGCACATTAAATTTGGAAAATTTTTCAAACTAAATAGTGAAGTGGAAGGTGAAATGTAGAACAAAGAGCGCATAACCGGTAGTGAGTAGTTCATCTCATTGGATTACCTATTAGAATTTGTTTCTCTTTTTATTTGAAGATATAACATGCCATTTTATTGAACTATATCTCTTGCAATTGAAATTTAGGCCATTAGCGGAGATGACTTCTGTCAAGAATTTCTAATAGTCTCAAATTTCAGTGATTCTTTAGATCAAGAATTCACGCAAGTTCAACAATAATAGTAACAACATCAGTCAAAAAACCACTTACACAATACCAGAAAACAATGATGAAAACAAGGATACCATGTAACTGAAATCTGAAATATGTGGCACGAGGAGCATTTCCCAATATCAAAAACAGTCTTTCATTTTCATTTTTAGGTACTAATATGCATTTTCACAATTGCACTATACTATGGATCCCTAAAATTCCTAAATGCATATGAGCATTTTGCTTGAACTTGGGATCATGAATGCAGAAGGGATTTCTGAGGATGTGTAGCCTCAGTGGGGGCTCTTCAAATTAGTTTGCCTTTATCAAGAGGACCATCTATATCATGTAAACCTTTTAAGGAAAACTTATGAAAGTCTATAATTTCATTACCTGAACATCCTTTTCCCATGCTCTGCGTGTCAGCTCCCCTTGAGTCAAGAGCTCAGCAAATTGAGCAGTGTCATTGGCATCATAAATTGACCCAGGCCTCAGTCCATCACCAATAGATAGTGCGACATCATATTGATTACATATGTCAAGGATATCATCCCAGTGCTCATAAGCGAAGTTCTCCTTGTGATATGCCAAGCACCACTTTGCATGAATAGATCCTCCACGGGAAACAATTCCTGTCATGCGCTTCGCAGTTAATGGGATGTAACGGAGAAGAACCCCTGCATGGATGGTGAAGTAATCCACACCCTGCTCTGCTTGTTCTATCAGCGTATCTCTGAAAACATCCCAACTGAGATTTTCTGCAATTCCATTTACTTTCTCAAGGGCTTGATATATGGGGACAGTCCCTACTGGTACAGCAGAGTTACGTAGGATCCACTCACGGGTCTCATGGATGTGGCGACCAGTAGAGAGATCCATGACAGTGTCTGCACCCCACATTGTTGCCCATTGAAGTTTGTGTACCTCTTCTTCAATGGAGCTAACTACAGCTGAGTTTCCAATATTTGCATTAACTTTAACCAAGAAATTCCTTCCGACTAGCATTGGCTCCAACTCCAAGTGCTTCTTGTTGGAAGGAATGATTGCCCTTCCACGTGCAACCTCTGACCTAACAAATTCTGGATCAAGCTTCTCACGAGCAGCACAGAATAACATCTCTTCAGTGACAATTCCCTTTTTAGCATAGAACATTTGAGTATATCTAGGTCCACCTAACCTTTCACGCCTATCCACCCACTCTTTGCGTATTTTTGGAAGACCTGTTTCACAAAGTTGTAAGAACAAGTAAGAAAAACTAGTAACTTATGAGAGCTATTAAATTTTTTTATTGGTACCACTGAAACAATTTTATTAATTTGACATAAAGTAATTGCAATGGTTGATTAAGTGTTTCACATCATTAGCCTCAGCTAACCCCCAATTGATTACACAATCCACCCATTTGTTATGGTACCCCAAAACATTTTATTCCTGTTGACCCCAGATCTTGCAAATCCATCAGCTAAGGAGTTCGCCAACCTCAAAGTTGATTCATATTGTGTTCCAATTTCCAATGAAAATTTTGTAATTTCCTTTAACAAATGTCTGTACCTCTAAGATCCTGTTTTTTTTTCCAATCAATTCTAAGATCCTGCTTAGTTGTTCTTGATCCATGCAATAAATACCTTTGAGTCTCCTTCTACCAGTACTTCTTTGAAGTTGAGAAATTTCGCCAACCTTATGTAGCATAGCCCATAACTCTGCTTCATGGATATCTACCCCAATTTCTAAGAATGCCATCCATGGTGAATGAAGAACCATCATCTCAAAGCTTAATGAACATGAAAATGAAGAAGTGCAAGAAAAGAAATCACAAATTTTTAATATTCCCATGAGTAAAAAGAGTTTTTAACTTAAATGTTTATTCGATAGGATCATTTTCAACTTTCTAAAAAGCCCAAGTAGAAGAGGAGAAGCTGATACCTTCATGGAGAAGAAAACTAAGAAAAAAAAATTAAAACTTGTATTTTTAATGAAAAGATGATATGGACACAAGGTAGCAAAAACATTTTCTAGAACCCTGTCTGCAGTTCTGCTAAAAGCTAATAGCAAGGAATAGATACAAGTACAAAAAAAGGTTAACACAAACAGCACCTGACTGACAAGAAGAATACACAACACTTAACAGCTTTCTTTAGCTTTGTTGTTGTAAACCCAGGCATGGTGGAGAGTCGGCTAAAACAATAGCTGACAAGGACAACCCATCCTCTGCAGTAAATCTTCTGTCCTAACTATATGATATATACAATTTTTCAATTTGGTAAATACAATTAACTTGTCCCACAATGTGATGCAGCATAGTTCATAAGGGAGGAGTTATTTTCTTTAACTCAGAATCACATTCCTTTTAATTCTGAAAAGAATAATAAAGAACTGAGGATAAGGAAGAAGAGCACAAGAGCATTTATACATACACACACACACACAGAAAGAGAGAGAGAGAGAGAGAATGTCCAATGGTCAAAGGTGTCTCCAGCGAGAGAGGAATCAAACACAGAAAATCAAGAGTTGCAGAAAATAGATATTTATGGAGAAACAAGGCTCTATTTATAAAGAAGTTGTAATCCTAATGTGCTACCCAAGCAATCCTAATAAAATAAGAACAAAATAGAAAAACACAAAATTTCTTCAAAGCATTTTTGTGGAAAAGGAATATTCTCTTTCAGGCTTTTCAATTGAAATATAGTAACGTAATCTTTCTTTGCAATCCCACCTCACTTTTATATATAATCCCACCCCACCCCACTTTTGATATAGTAATACCACCTTTCTTACTAATCCAAAATATAGACTATCATTTATCTTGTTGAAGTATAGCTAAAACACATCCATTTACATGTTTCAGTCTTCAGAAAAAAGAAAATACGTTCAAACCAAAGGGTTGATTAATAAATATATGACCACATGTAAACCAGTTGCCTGTTTGTTCTGTAGAAATAAAATTAAGAAAACATCATATATTTTTATTCATAATATTAAGGGTAGCCCAGTCAATGACGCTCCCAGCAATGTGAGGTCTGGGGAGGGACAGATGTACACAGCCTTACCCCTGCACATACAGAGAAGCTGTTTCCAGGATTTGAACCCTGGTCACCCAAGTCACAATGGAGAAACCCAACCACTGTGCCAAGGCCGGATGTACACAACCTTACCCCTACACGTAGAGAGAAACTGTTTCCAAGATTTGAACCCTGGTCACCCATGTCGCAATGGAGCAACCCAACTGTTCTAGGAATAACACTGTATGGAAACCCTAGTGTAAATTACGCCACAAAAGACATCTAAAACAGTCGGCCCTCGTTATATAGATAGGTCATACTTATTTATGATTTTTTATGAGTTTTAATACTTTAATTATATATTTAAAATGGGATTTTTTATGGATAACTTGAATTTTTTATTGAAATTAATAAAAGAATCTGTATTTACAATGTGGCCAGTACCCCATTTACAAGTGTTGCTAGAACCAAACCCTACACCCAAACTTTAGTTTTTAGTTTTACAACCATTCAGTTTTAAAAATGGGATGTTTTAGGCACTTCCCTTCTTGATGAGCTGGGAAAACAACTATTAATACTGCAATAGTATTTTTTCCAAAGGAGAAAAAAAGGACCCTTGTATACAATATATAAACTCTTATCTCTATAAATAGGGATATCTTTTGTCTTTGCAATATGATGTACTCCAAATAGCACCCTATTTTAGGGACTTAATAAATTATCATACTTCGCCATTTTCTTTAAGTTTTATGGATAGCTTATCCTTTTCTACTTTTATTTTTACAGAAAGAACCTCCCAATCTTATGTTTCTTTAATTATTTTAGACCTTCAAAATGTTTCCATATCTTCAACTGACATTTTGCATATTTTATGTAGTAAGAGTTGTATTTCAAATGAAACAATTCAGAGATCAAAGTCCGTCCAAAACCTTATAATGTTTTCTTTTTTTTGAAAACTGTAAGGTAAAGTATTTCATTAATAATCATAGAAACCATACAACTATGCCGACCCCTGTACAAAGAGAATCTGCACAAGAGGGGAAAAAAAGAAAACCAGTATACCCAACCATCAGCCCCACCCAGAATTATGAACTCCTAACAAAAAGGAAATTCTGATCATAAAAAGAACAAGATTGTCTACTTTTGAATAATGAAAGTCTGCCAGCCATGAATGTATCATTCCTGAAATCCTTTTTAAGACCTCTTCTTTTGATATTCCATGAAGATGGGACGATGACCCAGTAGCTGAGATGGTAACTCAACATCCCTCCAAATATGGAGGTGTGGGATCAAACCCACCTAACTGCAGGCTTTCCGTGTTAAGGTCAGTGGATGTCAAATGCACCCTGCTCTGTCCCTACCCCTTAGTCCCCCTATAATGTGTAATAATACTGGGAAAAAAAATTCCATGAAGATTTTGTTTCAAGTGGAATGGAAGAGGACCACTTGTCTAGCAAACACCTATTTCTTTGCATTGTCTGGAACAAAATCTAGCAAACACCTATTTCTTTGATATTCCATGAAGATTTTGTTTCAAGTGGAATGGAAGAGGACCACTTGTCTAGCAAACACCTATTTCTTTGATATTCCATGAAGATTTTGTTTGCTAGATTTTGTGTAAAATCTAGCAAACACCTATTTCTTTGCATTGTCTGGAACAATATTGCCAGACTCAAAACAGGACCAGACAATTGGACCTCCAGAACTGGGAACTTGCAGCGAAAGGGTTGCCCAGTTTTTGGAAGTGTTGACTTGGTCGAACTAACCCATTTACATGTAGAAATATGTGTTATACACTAATGTTTATTTTTTTAAACTTATTATGATACAAAATAGCTCTAAAAGGTATTCTAGGACCATTCTTATTTTTACTTTTATTTCTATATTTTCACTTCTTTATTTTCTTCAGTTAAATGGTTGAAGCAGGCAGTTGAACCGTTCAACCCATGATCCAGTCACCAAAACGGTTCTCTGTCCAGTCCAAGTCTAACAACATTTATTGGACTACAGCATAAATATTGTTTTAAGCATTTTTTATTGGAAGTGGTACAAATATTGTTTTAAGCATTAAATATCCCATTTGATGAAAAATCTAGTCCAAGGTAAGATGGTAAAGATGGAAAAACCAATTAAACTAATTTAAAAAATACAAAAAGAAATCTTCTGTTTAACAAGTTGGTATTCTAAATAACTTAAGCACTCAGAGAATAAGGATTAAATTATTGTTGGGAAACTTATCATTCCAACAAGTTACGAGATCAAACAGAAGCATTTCTCCAAATATAAAAGAAAAGTTGAGAAGAAAAAAACTAATGATCAAGTCATTAATTGTAAGCCCCCACAATGAATAGACTCAAATAGAGTACAACAAAACAAATAAAAAAAGATGAAACTGAAGAGTATAGGCAACATTCACTATTAAAGCATGTCTATAGAAGAACATAATAGATTATTGAAACAAGTAGACCAATAGAAAAAGGGTGGTGAGAATGGCAAGAAGTTAGTTTCATACCAACATGTGGACTAACATTTTGAGGACCACTTGTATCATAGGTGTCAAAGTATGTGTCATCCCCGGAAAGGTGAACCCGACGAAATGGAACCTTGAGTAAATGACCAGATTCCTCATGAACAACCTCCCTGCAAAACAGATAAAGAACATGAAAATCATTTCAAAGACCTGTAAGATTTTCAACCAGAAAGGAGGATATATCAATCTAAATTTTCAGCTAAAAGAAAAAAAAAAAGAAAAGAAAAAGAAGGGGCACTCATAACTTGCCTGTATTCCTTTGTACTCCTTGGAAAGCATTGTTCAAAGGATGGAAGAGGAAGAAAATCAGGAGCAGCAGGATTAACTGTGTGTTTCCTCTGTTTGGTCTTTTCTGGATTAGAAGTTGAGGGACCAAATGTTAGTGTAGCTCTAGGGCTGTACCTCATGGAAGTAGGTACTTCCTTTTCCCACGCATTTGAAGCACGCCCACCAACATCACAGCCGAGAAGGAAGGAAGTATTCAGCAACTTAACTGAAGGAGAGCTTTTGCTTTTCTTGCACACAACAGGTGTCAATGCAGTGTGTATTGATGCCATCTCTGGAGTATGAAACAATATAAGCAAATCAAGAACGACAAAACACATATGCTACCAGGAGTTATAACTAGAAAACGAAAGAGATATTAACCTCATCATGGATCAAAACAGGCTTGGTATATTAACAACAACACAGAGCTTTATCAAGCTAGAATAATCTTTTAGTAGGGTAGTTGGATTAAAAACGGCCATTACCCAATGTTGGTCCCATCTGGGGTCTTGGGAGGGATCCCAAGACAGACTAGATAGGGTTCTAACCTTTGGCTTTTTTATTGCAAAAACAGGCCTCCTTTAGATTCAAACTCCAGTTCTCATGCTTGGCAGACCAACATTTTACCATTACACCAAGTACTGGCCCCTTGCTAGGGTAGGTGGTTTAAGTTCCCAAAAGTACATGGGTGGATTCACAAACCGATTGGCATAAGTTCCCATTTAGATTCAGAAAGTTATGGTTTTGTTGGACTGCACCTAAAACAATTCCAAGCTACCTTAGCATTTTCATAAAGCTGAGAAATTACAGCCAAAATATCCCTTGGTGCAAAGGGGCTCTGATTTCTCGCTGTTTCTTCTATTTGCACATATAAAAGGCATGCACAAGAAATACCACTAACAATAACAAAACAATCACAAAAGGACAGACAGATCAAAAGAGGTTATACATAAAATAATCCTAAGACAGACAGATCAAAGGGGCAAGACATGAGAAAGCTTGTATACCACTTATATAGTCTACTAGATACATGTATGGTACCTGTATATCAAAGGGTATCATGTAGAAGATTTCCTACATCGAAAATCAGATGAATCCGGTAATGAAAATAAAAGAAACAAATTTCTATCTTTTGTATGTTCAAGATCATCAAAACTAAGCTTTTCTTCTATATTTTTTGAAAGAGCTCTCCAAAATATGGACAATGAGTGGACGGCACTGATTTAAAAGAAACAAAGTTCTATCTTTTGGATGTTAAGTTCATCAAAATCTATGCTTACTCACGACCAACTGATCAGAACTCAATTTAAAAATATATATATATATATATATATATATATATATATATAACAAAAAAACGAACACCTCCAAATTCGTTGTATAGTATTCTGCCATAATAAATAAAATAAAAGCTCAATTTCTCATCCCTATTCTTAAACCAGCACATAGAATATTCCTATCAAAACAGAAGCATAAGATCCAAAGTGTAAGATTGAAGCAAAAGATTCACAAATACTACATAAGAAGAGACAGAAGAACTCTTTTCTCCTACAAAACAGCTTGAGAAAGTTCGATGAGGTCGGAAAGAAGTAAAAGGAAAAAAAAAATGGAAACGAACAATAAAAACCTACTTCAGTTGAAATGCATGAAAGTTTCTCGAAGGTTGAAAGGTGATTCCAGAAGAAATAGAAGATTGCAGACAAAGAACCTCGACAAAAGAAATTGACAGAGAGAAATAGATAAGGGGAAGAGTCGGAAAGAACGTGAACCTGATCAGAGAGAGAGACGATGACTTTCACCGATAAAAAGAGTGACTTCTCTCACCCAGTTAACCTGTGACTGAGAGAGAGGCGCAGTGATAGGAGAAAGGCAGCAAATACGTGAGCATTTAAAGGAGAGTAATGTTGTCATGTTCCGTTTGTTGTGTGACTCGAGTGAGGGATGTCACGAAAAGCAACTTCACCGATAAATAAAAAAATCACGAAAAGCGATTTAAGGTCCACGTGGCACACAGATATTTTTCTTACAAGACGTGGATGACGCTCCATGAACGAACCATATATAGTACATCTAGATAGAAACGTAAAGCAATTTGCAAATGTCAAGAACTTTGATACAAAAATACGTTCCAATCGAATCTCCCATCAACTAGGAATGGCAACGGGGCGGATTAGGGGCGGGGATTATATTCTCCGTCCCCGACTCGATAATGAAATTAATCCCATTCCCGTCCCCGACCCCGTCAGAATAAATTTTGTTCTCATTTCCGATTCCTGACATAAATTTTTTGTGGGGACCGAATTTTCAAGATAATAGTATTTTTTAAAATAAATTTATTTATAATAAATAAAAATTATAAATTATAAATAATATTTTAAATATATTTTGATATATATAATATGAATAATATAATAATATATATTTAATATAAATAACATTTAATATATACATATATATATATTTAAATATATATAATCGGGATCGAGGTGGGGTAGGGATCTCAATCCCCATCCCCCATCCCATCGAGTTGAGGAAGTTAATCCCCATCGGGGATGGAAAAATTACCATCCCTACCCATAAGAATTCTATTCACATCTATCCATGAAATACTATCTTCATGCATTGGTAAGAGGATAAGATATTCTCAATGTGTGACTGCCATGTTTTATGGGGTAGGTGTGGGTAGAGTTGTGGACAGGAAATTCGGATTA